CCGGTGGAGGAGTCCAGCGCTCGCTGCATATCGGCGACGGTGTGTTCGGCAGCTGCGAGGCGGGCGGCTAAGTCGCTTTCGCCCGCGGCCGCCCCACCGATATGCGCCCTCGCGTCCAGCTCCTTTTCCCGCGCCTCGAGGTCAGCAGCCCGCTGCTCCAGTGCGGCTCTCTCGGTGCGGACGCATTCAAGATTGCGGCGCGCCTGCTCCTCCTGCGCCGCCTCGCGAAGGGACAGGCTGTCCGCCAGCCGTCTGGTCGTGGCCTCGGCCTCCTCGAGAGCTCGCTCCCGCTCAGCGAGTGCATCCTCGCGGAGGCGGAGCGCGGACTCCTCCTCGGCGCAGGCGGCCTCATGCGCCGCCAGCGTCGCCTCTCGGAGACCAGCGGCGGCCTCACGGTCCGTCAAGCCCCTCTCCACGGCGCCGGCGTGTTCTTCCAGCGCCATGGCACGGGCCTCAAGGGCCTCCTCGCGCCGCCGAGACGCCGCTTCAGTCTCCGTTACCCGCCGCTCTCGGACAGCGGCGGAGTCAAGGACCCCTTGGGCGGCGTCGAGCTTTTCCTTCAGCTCCGCCTCCCAGCTTGCGTGCTGAAGGCGGAGGGTGTCTTGCGCCTCGATCATCGCGGTGGTAGCAATGAGGGCGGCCGCTCGCTCCTCCTCCACCTCACGAGCGATCTCCGTCAGCGCCGCCTTCCGGGCTTCAAGCTCCGAGACGTGACGGCGGTGAGCTTTGCGGCCCACCTCCACCATGGCGTCCACCGAGCGCCGCCCCTCCTCAACGCGTGCCCATGCGGCCTCGAGCTCCGCTCGTTCCGCGCGCAGGGCCTCCACTTGGGCGCTGAACCCATCTAGCACCGCGGTGTTTGCGGCGGCCAAGGCCTGCAGAATGGGCTCGGCGCTCAGCGGGGCGACGGAAGATGAGGAGAAGAGCCGCCTTGGAGAGAAGGCGATGCGGCTCGGCCCCCCGGAGGATGCGCTGGGCTCGGGGATGTCCCCCGGGCCCGTTTGGTCCTGGGCGTCGCCCGGTGAGGTAGGCCCAGGCGATGCGCCCGCGGCCTCGTCGCGAGCCGCCTCGGAGGATGTCGCCTGAGGGCCGCCCGAGGGAGTGGGCCCAAGTGACGCGCCAGCAGCAGCTGTCGCCTCAGCCTGGCGAACCCGGGCGGCCTCCTCCCGGGCAGCTTCTTCGGCTTGGCGAGCCCGGGCGGCCTCCTCCCGAGCAGCTTCCTCCGCTTGGCGAACCCGGGCGGCCTCCCGAGCGGCCTCTTCAGCTTCCCGAAGGCGATCTGCGGCTTCACGCCGGTCAGATTCTCGCCTCCGCTCCTCTGCGGCCGCTGGATCTTCGGCCTCGGACCGGCCGGACTTGGGGTGGCGGGAGGAATGCGACGGGACATTGCTGAAGCAGAAGAAAAAACCAGAAGACGAACAAAATGAGTAAGAAAAAACTTACTTTTGGGAGAAAGATGGTTGCAAGGAGAGTGAGACGAACCTGCGAGGGGGTCGGTTGAATGACCACTTTGGAGGGGAAATCAGATTTCCCCGGCATGGTTCCGTCTCCCCCGTCTTGCGGAGCCGTTTCTTTTTGCGCTCCCCCTCGGGCTGCGACGTCGGCGCGGCCCCCTCCGGGCGCCGGCTGCTGGCACGCGCCGCCCCGCCCCCTCGGGGAGGAGATGGGGGAGGTGTTCCTCCCTGTTTCCTCTTCCCCCGGGCGTCGGCAGGGCGGTTGCTCCCCGAGCCCCCGTCGCGGGGCCCAGAAGCACGGCCCCCTCCTGGGGCTGATTCTTCCTGGCGGCCCCCGCCGGCGCCGTCGTGGCCCTTAGGGGCTCTCTCCTCTGAGGCCCCGACCCCCATCATAATTGTTAGAATGGAGGCGCGGTCGGGATCGCTGCAGAGGGGGAGGATCTCCTGAGGAATGCGAGACGCCTCCGCAGAGCTAAGATTCAGCACCCTTTGGACCACGATCTTGAAGTCCTCGGGAGCCCAATCCCATCTGGCTCCCTGGTGGGTCCTCATGTAGTCCTCAGACCCGGTGTACTCCCATGCGCTCCGGGCGCGCCGCTGAAGCGGCGCAATCCGGCGACGGAGGTAGTCGCCGTACACCATGGCCCCTGTGAGCCCCTGGGATCGCAGGCCCGCCAGGCGGTCGAGGACGGCGTCGTAGTCCTCCCCCAGATCTACTGGCGCCCGCCAGCTGGAGACCTGCGCCGGGGGCTGGCTTGGAAGTCGGAGGCGCGCTTCGTTGGCGAGGGGGGTGTAGAACCAGTCGCTCTTCCAGTCGTCCCACTTCTTGCGGAGGACGCAGGGGATGTAGCGGTTCAACACCGGCCCCCGCGGCTGGAAGTAGCAGCCGCCAACCACCGACGGCGGTGACACCGACTGCACGGTGAAGAACCACCGGAACAGCTGAAGAGAGGGGCGCACCCCAATGAACATCTCGCACAGGTGCGCGAAGATGGCCAATGTCATCACCGCATTGGGGGTGAGGTGCGCCATCTGGAGATCGTAGAACTCCAGGACATCCATGAAGAAAGAGGAAAATGGCGGGACCAGCCCAGCCATTGCGAAGGGGAGGAAGAAAATGGACCGCCCCGGGTAGTCTGGTGCCGGGCGCCCTTCGCCCAGCATCACTATCTCCCGACCGGTGGCGGACTCCGGCATGAAGCGGCGCGGCAGTCCGGCGTGCCTCTCGTTCACGATGCGGGAAGGCGGTAATACACTGCCGTCGAGCAGAGCAGAGCCCCGTGCCATGGCGGTGGAGGAAGAGATGATTGAGAACGAGCGCGTGTGGCGAAAGTAGGGCGCAGCAGAGAAAGAGTTAGAGCTCAGGCGGCGAAGGCAAGAGGAACAATGGCGAAAGGAAGGAAGCAAATCCTTTCCTCGATGCTTTTATACCCTTGCCATCGCTGGGCCTGGCTCCTCGTTTCTCGCGCCCACTACCTCGCTCCCTCGTATCTCGCTATCTCGCTCCCTCGTTTCCCGTGCCCACGCTTCCACTAATCCCATTCGCCCGCTTACGGCGCATGAAGTGGATATGCGGTTGTGGCAATCGAAATGGATTGTATCGTGCGCGCGTTAATTACGCTCGCCGACCGAAGCGGCGTTACCGTATCTCCGGGCGAGATAAATCTGCTCACCCAGATTCGCGCGCTGCTCAAGAGGTGTGGCAGTCTTGAATAGACCGCCCATTATGGACAACCAAAGTTACCAATACCAATGCGCATGGATTGAGACCGTTGGGTATTTTGCCCAACTACGGAGACCGGTCCCACCTGTCACCAGGCTTTAGGGGTGGCGTCACACCTGACCGCTTCCCTTGGGAAGGGAAATTGCTCTGGCATAACGCCGGGGGCTACTGTCGGTGATATGGGACCGGGAGTATCATGACCAGAGGCTTGAGGCAGACATAATCGCCCACGTGGCCTGGCACCTTCGGGGACGTCGGGCCCGAGGGTGAGGTGTCCGCCCTCCTCTTGATCTCCCCCGAGGGGGGGGTCGGGTTGCGCTTGCCCCGGCCCCGAGGGCCGAGGCACCCCGACCCCTTAAGGAAGTCTGCGCCACATATATGGGATAAGTGAGCACAGCTGTGCTCACCTAACAGCATTTATTGTAGTCTGGTCAAGCGTGTCACGCTGCATGCAACGCAGTACAGCGCGTTCCTTTACCCGGTCTGTGACCAGTCACAGACCGGTCAGATCACGGGTTAGGTGGCGACTGGCGGTCTGACGCACGCCTTGCCCCATCCCGTCAAGACGAAAGCCTCTAGGCACTCGTCTCAAGCCGGAGCTAGCGTGTTATCTCTTAGAGATGGCACGTTAGCCCTGGTTAGATTTATACCAGGCTTCATCCTAACCATTACAGGCAAGGTGTTACACGAAGAAGGGCAAAACATGCACGTTGTTAAACTGACGCGTGGGGGACAAGAATGACCGGTCTGACACTGGTCGCATCAGCAACGGGCAGCCACGATCCCGCGTCATCTCCGTCTCCGCCGGGAGTGGAGGTAGGTGTGGGCTGTCCCATCAGAAGGGCTCCCGGATGGAAACCGTACCGATCTCCGCCCATTAAAGAGAAAAAGAACAGTCCAGTTTGGAAAGAGAAGGGTGCATGTGGTATCCCCTTGAAGTATAAAAGGAGGACCTTGCCCATAGAGAAGGGGGTTGATTCTTTCCAGATTCAGAGCCTAGAACGAGGGAGAGGTGGGCTCACACTTTGTAACTTGTCCATACACAAATCCACAAAAACACAGGAGTAGGGTATTACGCTTCCGAGCGGCCCGAACCTGTATAGATCGTCCGTGTCTCGCGTTTCTTGCTGGCTGACGATCCTTCCACATACAGAGAGAGAGAGAGCTTGGGATCTCACCCTAAGCCCCCGGCCGAACCGGCAAAGGGGGGCCTGCGCGGTCTCCCGGTGAGGAGCCTCGAGCTCCGTCAGACATGTTCAGTTTCATTATATTATGAAATGTCACGTACTGTTTGTTCTAGTTAGTGAATTGTCATATGGTAAGAATATATAAAAATTAGGTTTTCTGGACTCTATCTTCCAATGTATTTTTGGATCCTATAACAAAATATTTTCATAAATATATTTTTTAAGAATCTAAACTTTTTTGAAATAAAAGAGCAACAAAGAAAATAAAAACGCTCTCTCGTAAGTAACTCGTGAAGATCCATCGAGAGCCACTCGTTTGAATCGTCGACACAAAAGAACACTTCATTGATTGCTTTTCGTCAATTAGCCGCACAGCACAGTACTCTCCAATCTGCTAAACCAAAACCAATCTCATCCATCCATACCCTTCTTGACACCAAGTGGCAACTCCTGATTGGACGCGCCCTATCCTACATGGCACCCCCAAGATTCTCTCGATAGGCTACAGGGGCCACACCGACCCTCCACGTCATCGTCCACGTCACCCTCATCCCGGCCCATCCAGCCAATCCCAGCCCAGCAAAAAATCTTCCCAAGTGGCCACCAGATAAGCCTCTCCACGTATTAATACGCCAAGTGTTCGTCGCCATGACACAGCACGCACACACACCCCACCAGCAGCAGCAGCAGTAGCTGAGCTTGAAGCAGCAGAGCGAGGTAGACATGGCCGCCGCCACCATGGCCCTCTCGTCCCCGGCGCTGGCCGGCAAGGCCGCCGCGAAGGTGTTCGGCGAGGGGCGCATCACCATGCGCAAGTCGGCGGCGAAGCCCAAGCCCGCCGCGTCGGGGAGCCCGTGGTACGGCGCCGACCGCGTGCTCTACCTCGGCCCGCTCTCCGGCGAGCCGCCGAGCTACCTGACCGGCGAGTTCCCCGGCGACTACGGGTGGGACACCGCGGGGCTCTCCGCCGACCCGGAGACGTTCGCCAAGAACCGGGAGCTGGAGGTGATCCACTCCAGGTGGGCGATGCTCGGCGCGCTGGGCTGCGTGTTCCCGGAGCTCCTCGCCCGCAACGGCGTCAAGTTCGGCGAGGCGGTGTGGTTCAAGGCGGGGTCGCAGATCTTCAGCGAGGGCGGGCTCGACTACCTCGGCAACCCGAGCCTGATCCACGCGCAGAGCATCCTCGCCATCTGGGCGGTCCAGGTGGTGCTCATGGGCGCCGTCGAGGGGTACCGCATCGCCGGCGGGCCGCTCGGCGAGGTCGTCGACCCGCTCTACCCCGGCGGCAGCTTCGACCCGCTCGGCCTCGCCGACGACCCGGAGGCCTTCGCGGAGCTCAAGGTGAAGGAGATCAAGAACGGCCGCCTCGCCATGTTCTCCATGTTCGGCTTCTTCGTCCAGGCCATCGTCACCGGCAAGGGCCCCCTCGAGAACCTCGCCGACCACCTCGCCGACCCCGTCAACAACAACGCCTGGGCCTACGCCACCAACTTCGTCCCCGGCAAGTGAGCGCCGCCGCCGCCGTGCTGCCATGGCGACGCATCGCCTTCAGCTAAGCTAGCTAGGTTGACGACGATGCGCGTCTCTGCAGGAGAGTGTGCGTGTGTGTACGCGGTGCAGTAGATGTACGTACGTGTACCGTATAGATGTACGTATTCGTGTGGACCGCGTGGATGGATGTACGAGTATTGGAGAGAGGGTGAGATCTGTACCGGTAGTGTGTATTTCTGTGCAGGTTCTGAACCTGATCAATGAAATATGGTGTTGTGAATTAATTATAAAATTAGCTTGTTTAATCCTGCGTGCTACTTAATGATATAATAATTCTTCTGATAATTAGTAAGAGTAATGAAGAGATTGCAAGAAAATTACTCCCAGAACAGTATACGAACTGAATCAAGTATAAAATGATCAAAATTAACCTGAACATGCTTTAACTGTTAGTATTTTGAACGAAAATTAATTGATAGTATGCACACGCTACAATTTTATATTCCCAAAATGTAAGTTATAAGTTGACAGGTTGGGGTAGTTAGGTGAAGTCTGAACCTTACCACTCAAATTTAAAAGCACTGGATGCATCATATATGATGATTTTTACTTGAAGCAACACTGCCCATGCTAAGATTTGCTTCCTACCGAGGTTACAATAATTTAGGTGGATAGTGATTACACTGCATTGACAAGGAAATTTGGGTATAATTTCATCTAGAACTTTCTATTACAACTGCTAAGCTAGCAGTGACAGATACGTATAGTTGAAAAACACTTTGTGAACTTTCTCAGAATATGGCCAATTCTGAGAAACTTAGCACTGTCTGGTTTCACCCAACTTGTAGTGGTTGGAAAGTTACAGTTACATCGACCTCAATACCCATGTGAATTGGGAGGAAAATTACAAGTTACATCAACCTCTCTGGGCTCTGGTCATGTGAATGTCACATGATCATGAGAGGGATCGTTCAAGGAAGTAGTGAAGTACTACAACAAAGTTCTAGCTATTATCTTATATACAAAGTCTGATGAAAACACCACAGCGACGTACTCCCTCCATACTCGTAAAGGAAGTCGTTATACGGTCTCCAAAACACAACTTTGACTTCTTGTTTATATAAAAATATTTATTAAAAAATGATATATGTATACTTTTATGAAAGTATTTTTCAAGACAAATCTATATATATAATTTTTACAATTTCAAACTCAACAACTTGAAAGATATTCAAGATTTATATTTTTAAGGTTTGACTTAAATATTGTTGTAAACGACTTCTTTGTGAGTATGGAGGGATTATGTGATAATTTGGAAAGATCACCTTGTTACGTTACCTGCCTCTGAAAAGGGCTCTGAAATGTACCATTCCGTCCAGTTTCTTCTTCAGAACTGGGCATGCTGCGACGAACCTGCTGCATTCGCTCCTATCTTGGGCTGCATGAATCAAAGAAATCAGCAGTGTTACCTTGCATGGTGAGAGAACAGTTTGATGGATGGATGTGCTCTGCTGACCTCATTGTTTTGCTCCTACAGGGTGTGCAAAGGGAAACCAAGTGGTAACCTTGAAGGGTTGGCTCATCTTTTAGCTTCAGATGAGAAGAAACCTCCCAGTTTGCACACTGAACAAATCAAATGAGAAAAACATGAAGGACATAAGTTGCAGATTTTTTGTGGTATGATTTTAAAAGTTCTAGGTTTGGGCCATACTTCTATTTATTGTTATTTTTTTACAACAAGATCAGGGAGATGCGTGCTTCCATACAATGAGTAATCCTTTTGTTTTCAAAGAAAAATCTTGGCTATCCTTATTTTATTTTTATTTTTTAATGTGAACAGTAGGAAATATACATATAGGTTAAAATTAAGCTTGTTACAAATAAGTTAAAAATGTACAAGGTTCTTGTCAGGGTTCATAATTCCGATGAAAACCGGTCGAATTCCGCGAAATTTCGAGGTTTCGACGAGGCTCGAAAGTAGAAGTTGTCTGAAATTTCGATGAGTTTCATCCAAATTCAAATTTGAATTGATAAAAAAGGAAAAATCAAACAAAATCTTATAAATAGTATGATATTCATAGAATCTATTGGGATATAAATTTTCAAAAAAAATGATGTATTACGTGTATTTTCTGAAATTTACAGTAGGAAAGAAAAGAATAATGAATTAAAAAAGGAAAAAAAAATCAATTTACCTATTGTTCTAGTTACCGATTGAAATTTCGATGATTTCGCTCGGAATTTCGCAAAGCCGATTGGTTTTCACGAGCTTATCGGTAAACTCAGGGAATTTGTATTTAAATTTTAATTTATAAAATTTGTTCGGAATCTACCGACTTTCTACCTGATTTCGTGAAAACCGTCATTCCGCCAGAGCCCGAAACGGAAGGCCATCTCGGAATTGTAAACTGGCTCTAGTGATTCTATTGTAGGGTCTTAGAGGTTCACAAGTTTGTCCACGTAGTATCACACTGTCTTTTCATGTTGATGTCCAATTTGTGCAATTCAGTTAGGTTCAGTTATACTCTTGTTAGTCGCTGCTGTCAATGACAGAAACACTCAAAGATTCTGGGACCTTTGCAAGAAAGAAAAAAAAAAGGAACACTTCGAGGTTTTTTTGGTGCTGCGAAGCTGCAGCTTTTTCTGATTATTTCATTGGACTACTAATAAGGGAATTACAACTGAAAATGTAGTGGACTCCTACATAAGCGCGCGACGAGAGTCCGGCTTAACTGCGCAAGATCCGGGAAGGCGAGAGAGCCCAGATCGTGCTCGACCATGCAAAACGGAAATGAAGCTAAAAACAGGGAAAAAAAACTGAAGACCCAAAGCAGCTAGACCTATTGGCTATTTCAACTTCAACAGTCACAAACAAGGAGACGTGAATCACCATTATCATCACATATGAGATCGGCAGCTCTGGGAGGCAAGTCAGTCCTCAAGACCCCTTCTTTCACCCTGGCGTGTGTCTCGGCTTCGTGCTGGAACATCGAGACCAGTTCCTGGAGCTCTAACTTCCTCACCTGGACCTGCTCATCGCTGATCGGCTTCTGCAGTCCGAAATAGACTATCCCCACGATGATCAGCAGGAGTCCTACCAAGAAAAGCAGCGCGGAGAATAGCGCGAAAGCGTAGGGAGTGTTCTCAGCTCCTGGTATCCCATCAACATTGATTCCGAACAATCCGGCGATGATGGACAGAACCAAGCCACACCCACCGAAAATTGTCAGGTTATGCGTAATGCGAAGGCTCTTCTCCTGAGTAGCACACCAACAGAGTTTTTAGTTTTCACACATGACACTTCAGCTATCACTAACTAAATAACTAGATTCATAGTGTCATATTGTCTGTTCAGTAGTAGGATATAAGGATTTGATGTTCATTTAGAATGCACAAGGATTCAGAAGGTCATTTTATAGCTCATACCTGTGACCAAGCACGGAGGGTGCTCTGCATCACATCTTGGATGGTGAAGAGCCGGCCACGAACTGCCTCCTGCTCTTCAATCATTTGTCTTGCGTCTTTCTTTATCGCTTCAAGTAATGATTTTGTGGTGCTGCCTCCTAGATACTTCAGCAGCTCAAAAATTATCTCCTCCCTAGCATGCAGTGACCATTTCACTCTGATAACCTAGTCAAATTAAATAGAATGCATAATTCAAGTCAATGCATGGAATTCACTATATTTCAGGTCCCTGTCAATTATTTTGGTCTGGACACATACCTGAGTGGCCAATCTTCTAATGTCTTGGTTAAATATCATGCACAACAGTTTCAAATCTTCTTGCTTTCGCCTGAAAACGCTAATGCAGTTATATATACAGAAGAAAGGAATTCAAAGAAGATGAGTATAACGTACTACTTCCTCCGTTTCACAATGTAAGACTTTCTAGCATTGCCTACGTTCATTTAGATGTTAATGAATCTAGACATATGTATGTGTTTAGATTCATTAACATCTATGTGAATATGAGCAATGTTAGAAAGTCTTACATTGTAAAACGGAGGGAGTACTTTTTTTCGAATAACAGAGTATAACATACTCTGAGTATTAACTTACCTGTTTACAAATTTAAGTTCTATTTCATCAGCGGCACCGAAGACATATTTACGCCACAATCTGAACATATCATGCTTTAAACATAAAGTTACAGTATAGAAAACATAAGTGCTATAACTTCATTGCACAACTTCTGAGTTTACCTGTCATCCCATCGGGCAAGCCGTGAAGCCAAATGTGCTATAACTTCCTGAATATTTTTAGGAGCTGTACCTGTACTTCCACAGGCAGAAAGAAGCTCCTAAACAACACGGGAAACATGCAAGACAATGGGTTAAAGAAGGAAGATTGCTGAGCGAAACGGCTTAATATATATATATATGAGCTACCACCTGAACTTCAGTAACTCCAATGACGTTAACGTTTGGTGCAGATCCCTTCACGTGAAGTGCAGTTATCAGAAAATTTTGAGCTTGCCAAGCACGGAGCACAATTGGAATGTCTTCTTCGTCACGAGCTGGATCACCAACCGACTGCCCCAACAGTTCAAATAGCAAGCCTCCTGCAACTCTTACAGGGACCTGAAATAAGTTAAAAAAAAGATACGAGGTTTGGAGGGAGAGACGTCCCTCCAAATATTTTTCAAGAAGAAATTGTAAGTGTGCTGGGGATTGAACACGAGACCTTAGGGTTGAAACCACATGCCCCTTGCCACTACACTATCAAGTGAAGAAAATCCAGACAATATTCCAAGTAACAGTAAGCTTAGATAAATACTGCATCTAGGTAGACACACTAATTCAGGACATTCCGCAATTGTGCATGTAGTACATGGGAGCAGGGTTCACTCTATTGGTTCTGGGGTTTCCATCGGGGGTCACCGAAATCCTGAAATTTCGGAAATTTTGGTCCGAAATTTCCGAAATTTTGAACAAAATTTAATTGAATTTGAACAAATATTATCCAAATTCATGAAAAAATTGAAAAATTCAAAAACTTCGGCCGAATTAATATCGTATCGGGGGTCACCGAAATGAGTAGCCCATATGAAATCATCAAAGAGTTTCAGTCTTTCAGACATTCAAGCTAAGAAGTGGCAGTAGAGTCACACTGAAACATTGACACTCGTAGTCTCCTACATATCTAAATGAACATATATTTTTAGATAATGGAATATATTTTATGCCTTTGCTTAACTTGCTACAGCCAATTATTACACAAATTGGCTTACAAGCGTTTACGCACGAAAGAGTGTTTAATTCTAGATAGAACATCAATAGACTCAAAATCTATTATATAATTAAAGTAATAGAAAAAGAAGCCTCCACGTTCGCTCTCATGGCCTAGAAATTCTGACATTAATCGGAGAAAAAGAAAAAAAACAGAGTCCATATAGAAATACAATTTAGAAATAGCTGAAATTCGGAATTAAAAAATAAGGAATATTAGAAAAGGTGACTAGAGTCCATATAGAAATACACTTTAGAAATAGTTGAAATTCAGAATTAAAAAATAAGGAATATTAGAAGAGGATACTAGAGTCCATATAGAAATACAATTAGAAAATAACTGAAATTCGGAATTAAAAAAATAAGGAATATTAGAAAAGAGACTAGAGTCCATATAGAAATACAATTACGAAATAACTGAAATTCGGAATTAAAAATAAGAAATATTAGAAGTAGAGCATAGAGTCCATATAGAAATACAATTAAGAAAAAAAAAGAAATTTGGAATTAAAAAATAAGGAATATTAGAAGTAGAGTATAGAGTCCATATTGGAATTTAAAACCAACTAAAATCCGGAATAAAAAGGAGCCTCCACGTTCGCTCTTATGGCCTAGAAATTCTCACATTAATCGGAGAAAAAGAAAAAGCAGAGTCCATATAGAAATACAATTTAGAAATAGTTGAAATTCAGAATTAGAAAATAAGGAATATTAGAAGAGAAGACTAGAGTAGTTATTACACATGAGTAGTTTCGTAAAGTTATTGCAAAATTTAATATTATGTTGTCATTGTAATATATTTTAATAATATAATAAGAAAACATATATGATATTATATGAGAGAAAATATAATGATGCTAGCCGCGCAATCTGCACGGGCCACCATGCTAGTTGAACATATGTAGTCATAATGATTTGCATACAAATAGTACCAAGACATGGTGCTTTCTATCAAAAAGCCGGCCTCTTTTGGCTTTCCCTCTAAAAAATGGTACCTTAAACATATAAAACAGTAGAAAATGGATGAATTACCCAATCTCTTGGGTAGTGCAGTGCTGGATTTCTTTCTAGCTTTCGGTAGAAAATTTGGAGTAGAAAACCGCGGAGAAGTATGGTAAGGTAAAGCTCACCTCGTAGAGCAGATGCTTCATCTTCTCACTGATGAGCACGCTCTCGTCCCTGAGCGCCACGCAGATCGCCGGGTGGAGCCACCGCGCGGCGGCCAGCCACGCGTCCACCGCCGGGTGCCCCGCCGCCACGTGGCACCACCAGGTGGGCCCCGCCGCCCTCTGCCAGTACGGCGCGGCGACGTCGGCGACGGTGATGTCGTCGCACTGCTCGTCGCCGCCGCCGTCGTGCTCCATGAGGCTCATGCTCTGCCCGTCGTCGTGCCACGCCGCGGCGTCCCCTCCCACCATCCCCACCAGCTGCGTGATCCTCCTCCACCCGATCGGCGCCCACAAGCTCTCCGCCGGCGCCACTGTCGGCGGCCTCGGTTCGTCGCCGTTGTCTCCGATCTTGGCCGCGAGTGATCTCCTGCGGTCCTGGACGGCGAGGTCCTTGGACTGCAGCAAGGAGCAGCACTTGCTCCGGCACAAGTTGGCCGGGGTAACGAAGCCATGGGCGCCGCCGCCGCCGCGCACGAACTCGAAGGCGCAGACGAGGCCGTCGGTCCACAGGCCGTCGGACGACGACCACGGCGAGGACGCAGAGGCATCCTTGGCGCCGAAGCCGTGACTGAGCTGGTGGTGGTGGTGGTGCTGCTTCCTAGCGTCGCCGCCGCCGCCGCCATGGCGGACGCCGTGCCAGAGAGGCTCGCCGTTCACCATCTCTCTCTAGTGAAGCCGCAGCCTCTGGGGCGGACGACGGCGGCGACGAGATGTTTTTATTTATGGGGTCGTCGCGTGACGGCAGCGTCTGGGGGTGGGCCCCCCACGTTGGCGCTTTTGCGCGTCGTGGGCCATACGTGTCAGTGAGAGCGAGTGAGTACGGGGGTTGGGGCCCACGAGACACGTGGCGTTGCCACGCTGCTGCTGTTGCAGCTTGTTCGGTGGCGCTAGAATGCGTGGTTGGTCTCGTGCCCCGTGCCCGCGCGGTGGATTTCGACCGTTCTTTTTCAAATAAATCTGTCCAATTTCTCCACTACCGGATTTGTTCCAAGATTGGTGCAGGCATAATGCGTAAAATATCAGGTCTTCACGCGTGGGGTATGAATGGATCCCGCCTCTTTTAGGGCAGCAGCAGGGCGTCGCACAAAAGCAAAAAAACAAGTTTATCCACGTAGGAGAAAAACTCGAAAAAAGGAGTCAAGCTCCTCACTCCTCAGTGCACGTGCACGCGTAGGCGTGACTTCAGGAGCGTAATTTTTTAAGGCCGGTCCCGCCACGACTTTTCTCCATTTTCAATTCCCAGGCCCGTCTCTCTCTTCATCTTCCTTACTCGGCTCCTTCCCATCTCTCTCTCTCCCTCTTCAAGCGGCTGAGATTTGCAAGCGACGCCAGCGACGAGCGGTGGCCTCTCCCCTCCGGTGCCGGTGGCGGCCTCTCCCCTCTCCTCTCCGGTACCAGCACGGCCTCCCAACAGCTCAGCGGGACGGATCTAGCGGCGCTGGCGACGAGCGGCTGCCTCTCCCCTCTGGCGCCGACAACGGCCTCTCCCCTCATGTGCCAGCGCGGCCTCCAGGGAGCTCAGCGGGGCGGATCTGGCGGTGCCGACGACGAGCGACCGCCTCTCCTCTCTCCCCTCTAGGCTCCGGTGCCGCCTCTCCCCTCTGGCGGCGGCGCGGGCATCGACGCTTCTCCCCTCCCTCTCCCTTCTTCACCTCTTCTCTTGTGGGCCCAAAAGTTGTGAAATGACGAAGAGCCGAGGCTCCGAACTATGCCTAGGTGGAGAGGAATCTTTGAGCTAGCTAGATGAGGGAGAATGACACCTAGGTACACTGTGAATGACTTTACAAGTGCGCCTCATTTATCACTAAGTTAGAATTGTTTTTATGTTTGAAACCCAATTATATACAATTTATTAAGCGTAGTTACAATATAACTGGGGTGTAACCAGAACCTACTTAGTTATTTAGAAATCTGTTGACAATGATAAAGGTAGACTCGGGAGGGCGCGGATAGCCGCGCATTAGATTTGCATTGTTCGGGGGTTAAGACCCAGCTTGTGATTTGTGAATCAGCGACAACGAGCATGACGAAATATTGACTGCTACAGAGATGCAACAATTGAGTATGCTTTCTTTTTTTTAAAGAAAAAAAGCAAGTGAGCGTGAGTAAAAACAACAAAAGAAAACGCTCCATCCGTCCCAATTAAAACCCAATAATAAAACAAATGAAGTACTATATCACTAACTTTTGTAAGATAAAATTATAAATAAGTAAATGAATAGCAAGGTGAGCATAACTCAGCTGATTAAGTTACTCGTGGCGAAACTAGCCCATCCGTATTCATATCTTGAACTTAACACACGTGCTCGTATTTACGTTGCAGGAAGGCTCCATGGTAACTCCATCGATTTTAAGATATATGGTCCCAATCTTCCGGAGGTATTTATAGGGTTAGGGTACGTATTTGTGCCTTCATAAGATGAGTGTGCTAGGTTTACATGGGTAGGCCGTATGCCGAGTGTAGCTTCATACGGGTAAGTGAGCGCGTATTGTGAGCACCTATGTTTGTACTTTGTTTTAAAAAGTAATTAAATAAATAAACTTCCGAAGGTGTTTATACTTTATAAGGGTAGGGTGTACTGTGTGTGCGCCTTCATAAGGATAAGTGTATGCGTATTGTGAGCATCTATGTTTGTATTTTGTTTTAAAATATAATTAAATAAATAATCTGACAGGCGAAAAAGTTGTAAATGATTGAACTCATACAAGTAGAATGTAAGTGGCTAACCCGTGAACCTGTATACCCATTTATAAGTCAAAATAAGCAGCTTTGTATTTTTTTTTTGCAAATAAATGGATTTCACAGTTAGCCATTTACACCTTACCGATCAAACGTTTCTGAGAGACCTGATCGACAGGTGAGGATCTTCTATCATAATATCATTACTATTAGTCACTGGTATCCTTTTATTGTCTCACACGTACTATGGTGAGGATGTGAACCTCCTGATCAACTAGGTGTTGTCCCGTGGCAAACAGACAGTAGTTAGCCTAGCAAAAAAGTAGACAGTTAGTCACGCATAAACGGGCTTTTTACAGAAATATCACATGCAAATTGAAAGAGGCCATTCACCAACTTGTACTGTTACTTGTTCGTCGATCATCATACGTAAATTCCTTTGTTTACGGTCGGTCCTTTTCCTCACCTGAAAACACTATTTTTGGCCGCTACGAAAACCGATGATGATATGCCTCATCAGCCATCAGGTACTATCAAAAGAAACACATCGGTGATTTACAAAAGGGCAGCAGCTTGAAGGTGTCCCATGTACGGACTATCACTGGTGAAGAAACCATCTTTAGTCGATCGGCCAAAATCTACAATAGTCCCGGTTACAATAAAAACCGGGACTAAAAATGATCTTTAGTCCCGGTTAAAAACACCAACCGGGACTAAAGATCATCTTTACTCCCGGTTCATCCCGTGTCAGTCAGGGGGCCGAGGATCTTTAGTCCCCGTTGGTAACATCTTTATAGTCCTGGTTGATAATACTAACCGGGACTAAAAATTATATTGATCTTTAGTCCCGGTTAGTATTACTAACCGAGACTAAAATTTAATACGTAGTATATAATCCCTATCCCTTATCCTCTCCTACACTTCACAGATCCGTTTCCCTTCCTCTTCACAGATCTAACTCCTCCTCCCCTCCTCCCCTTTCATCCCCCTCCTCACTTCCCATCCGTGGCCGGCGGGGCTGCGGCGGCGGCGGCGGCGGTGGCCGTGGCAGGCGGCGGCCGGCGGGGCCACGCCCGGCGGCGGCACTCCTGGCGGGCGGCCGGAGGTGCCGCGCGCAGCGGCTACCGGCAGGGGCGTGCCCGGCGGCGGCCGTGCCCTCTCGACTGCCGGTCGGCCTCTTTTCTTTTTTTTTTCTTTTTTTTGATAATTTGTGATTGATTGAGATGTGTAATTTTGTGATTCATTGTATGGATATGAGATGTATAATCTGTGATGTATTTGATTTGTGTGTATTTTTTAGGATTTGTGATGTATTTGATTTATATTTATAAGTAACTTAAGATTTGGGATGTTACTTTGAATTGGGGATTTGGGGATTGATTTAGGGATATACATGGCACTAGATTCGGGAGAAAATATAGAGATTAAATCTGGCAAAAGAAAAAAAAAGTGCTACTCTCTCTTTAGTCCCGGTTGGTGTTATCAACTGGGACTAAAGATTCCTCTCTTTTTTCCTAGTTGGTAACACCAACCGGGACTGAAGATCAAAGATATTTGAACCGATCTTTAGTCTTAGATTCGTACTCCCGGTTGGAAAATCGGGACTATAGGGGGTTACCAACCGGGAGTAAAAATGATTTCTCCACAAGTGTACACAGTAAACCTCGATTTTATCTTGCAACAGATTATTTACTGAAAGATCCCTAATGAGATCAATGCTCTAGCTAGTTACGCTAAAGAATTTGAACTTATCTCAAAACAATCTGTGTAGAAGAATACACGAGAACTCAGTGATCTCAAGGCATTGGAGTCACTTGACTTATCGTGCAGTGAGTTATCTGGTCATACAAGATTTTATATAATACACTTAAAATCGAGAAATCCTCTCTTATATAAAGTTAATTATAGCACACTAATTCCTAAAAATTAACATGCAATGATGCCACATCATCATCCACTAAGAATTGTTATATTTAAGCATCATGCAAGCATGCTATATTATCTATAATTTAATAATTTATTAAATTTTAGAGATTTAAAATGTAAGCATGTTAAATCATCCCACATAATTCACATAATATTTCAATTTATCTCTTTATTTTTTAGAATATCCTATATACCTACAGTTCATCCTCACTTAGTTCATGTTATTTTTCTTTTCTCTTATTAAGTCATATTGCATCAATTGTTTTTAGTCCTTAGATGATTAATCTACGGTTTAAATTATCTCTCTTCTTTTCTTCTCTCATTAAGCCGTATCATTTTAATTTTTTTAGCCCTTAGATGCATGGTCTAAATGATCTTCTTTCTTCTGTTCTCTCATAAAAGCACAACATCCTACTTTTACATTTGAATCATCATTCTACATACTCCCTCCGTTTTTTAATAGATGACGCCGTTGAATTTTCTCACATGTTTGACCATTCGTCTTATTAAAAAAATTACGTAATTATAATTTATTTTGTTATGGGTTGTTTTATCAACTCATAGTACTTTAAGTGTGATTTATATCTTATAAATTTGCATAAATTTTTTGAATAAGACGAATGGTCAAACATGTGAGAAAAAGTCAACGGCGTCATCTATTAAAAAACGGAGGTAGTACTTTTTAAATTTAAATCACATCAACTTATTTAAACTTATGTTTATGTTTATGTAAGCTTATGTTGTTAAAGCTATTTTACACATTTATTTTTACTTATTGTTATCATAATAAACTCTCGCAACAACGCGCATGGTTTAACCTAGTAAAATAAATGGTGGGGTACACTTATATAAGACCGCGACTATCCTCAAGGGTAATGAATGTAAAAAATAGCGTGTCGTAATAAAATCAATTTTTTATTTTGGATTTTTTAATGGAAAAATAAAATTCTGATTTTCTAGGTCTAATGAATAAATGATAGAGCCTGGTTCCAATTCTGGCAAAACAAAAGGCAACAAGCTTAACTTCTTAATTGGAAGAACTCTATGATCTAATTAGACGTTAAAATAGATTAGTATCCGATGTAGGGAAAAGGCTGCATTTTCTATGAGTAGACCTTTGATTTTTTTTTAGAAATCCTAATTATTCTTAAAGTGTGGGGAACACTTTTAAGAATATTTATAAAATCGGGAAATATTTTTAAAAGTGTGGGGTACAATTTTATGTATATTTCTAAAATCAGGATAAATAAACAGTCATCATGAAATTATCGTTGCCTGAAGAGGCATCACTTTTTTAATTTAATAGAGGGAAAACACCTATTTCGAGACATGTCATATCTATAGGAGAGCTACTTTTTTTTTTTAAAAAAAAAACTCATGCATTTTATTAATTATAGATAACTAGGTACATATCACATGAGTTATCCCTAGCGGGAAATCAATTGCAAGTAAAAGCAGTTTTGCATAAAATGTCCCTTGAAGATGGCCAAATTAACATAAGCTCCTGAAAATTCGCAGGAAGGACTCCTAAGAAACTAGAAAAAGCAATAAGTCCTTCTCTTCTCTGTCAGGTAGCAAGCTAGATCCATGGCTGCAACGCTGATGAAGAAACCAAGAGTGACTGCAGATGAAGATACTAAGTATAGTTGGCCACATCGCCTGAGTCCCGACGACCTGGCCCAAGGCATGAGAATTTGGCCCGACCTAGGCACCGCCCGACCCGCTAGGGTCAAGCCCATGCCGACCCGGTATGGCACAATGAAAAAAAAACAGTTGAGGGATCCAACATAGACATACTTTCAGCCCATTTGAGGCAAGGCCCAAAGATAAGAGGGATACAAAATAGACTTAATTCAACCATATAAGACAACCCAAAGAGATGAGGGAGGGAAAATATACTTATTTTATAGAGAAGCATAATGGGTTGTCGTGCCTTCGAGCCAACCCGGCATGACCCAAGTCTTATTGGGCCATGCCTGGGCCATGGGTGCAGCCCGTGGACAGGCAAGGGCCGGCTCGGCGTGTAGGTCGGGCCATGCCGGCTCGACTAACCTCGGCCCAAGCCCGGCCGTTCCTAGGCCGTGCCGGGTCGGGCGAACCATTTGGCCATCTATAGATACAAGGAAGCATATCCAAAAGGGACCTCCGCTTGGAGGTTGAGGCTTACATGACAAAACCATGAAAACTTGGCTTCTCTCTGATGATGCACCATCGGTGACGAAGAAGGCTTGCATATTTGTGGTTGCCTCGCCGGAGATGAACCAAATGGCCGATGTAAACTTGTCTTACTTCCAATTGAAGTCGTCCCTGGCAAACCCAGAAACCACTCCATGGATGGATTTGGTTGGGAACCATAGATGATCACCGGGACAAGAGAAACATGACGCTGACAAACTCTTGCACTACACAAAAGTACCAAAAGAAAAGAGAAAACAAAGAGGAAAACACTACTACGGGAAGAACCCGACTACCTGGACTCCCCTGCCCCATCACTGGCGACTGGAGTTGCCGGAATCAATGGAGGAAAGGGGCCTGACGGAGAGTGAGGAAGAAGACCTTCTTTTCGCCTGGAGGAGCCATCGAGAGCGAGAGGATTAGATCGAATCCCCCCCTCCCCCCCCCCCCCCCGGCCCGTGCTTTGTCATAGGAGAGCTACTTTTGACTGTTACTCCTGTGTATTACCCCTCCATTTTTAGATAACTAACAATTTTAACTTTAACTTGAATGTTGACCACTACGAATTACTCTTTAAATGGTTATGGCAAAGTAAGTAAAAGTTTTCTTAGCCATAATAATAGTGTGGATCTTCCTTAGTATTTGTTGATATTTTTGCAAAATGGACAAATGATCAAAGTGTAAAAGTGAGTAGTGCCCCGTTGTCATCTCTACTGCCTTAAAAATGGTTTAAGTCGTCCTTCTTCTACCGCGCACAGTACACCGACTCATAAGGGCCTGTTCACTTTGCTGCCAAAAAAAACCTAAATGTACCCACTTTTTTGGCAACTATGTCAAAATTTTGGTAATTTGCCAAAATTTTGGCAGGATTTCTTATATAGTTACCAAAATTTGGCAGCAAACTAAATGTACCCACTTTTTTTTGGTAACTTTACCAAAATTTGGTAAGGTTGAAAATGGCACAAAAGTAAACAGCCCCTAAGTTTAGTAATAAGCCTAAAGAAAGATGACCTAAAGAAAAGAGGATAAAGAGGATAAGAAGTGGGACAAGACGCTGGACGTCCGGCTTTTGCTAAAAAATGGGGCATTGCTCCGATAGATACAGAAAATTATGCATCATTTGATTAGATGTTTCGGCTCGTTGGGTGAAGTACTGAAGTGTTTCAACGAGATACAGTATCAAAAAGTACTAATGCAACACCAACAAAACATTATCCCAGTAACTAAAACAGTAAGAGAAACATAAAATAGAACTTAATGCAATAGAGTCGGGTTCTAATTGAAACACACGCTTTAATTTGGTGACTGACCGGAAGCATTTAGGAGATAACGGGTGTAACCGGACGACCAAGCGGGAGCAATTTTCCTTATAACCTTGTGCATCATAAACAACGAAAAACAGAGTCCCTGAGTCCCCATCCCCTACCTAACAAGATTTCCTCGAGGGTAACAATCGAAAAGTACAAACCGGTATGCACCGTAGATTAGAATATTATAGATTAGTATAATTAGTCCCAACCGACGCACCTAAAATCTGTGCAGCCAAAGATAATCCAAGAGACAGATGACCGAAAGCCCACCGAAACCGGTAAATCCTAGCGCTAAACCCACAACCCAACACGCACAAGAAGCAGCGGGAAAGTGCGAAGGACGAGCAGCTCTCACCCACCAGGAGAGAGTCCTCCGCTGCTCTCCTCTCCTCTCCTCCGGCTAAGTGGTTGGCTGGTCTCAGCGACAGCGATCCCTTTCGGGGTACTAGTAGCTAGTAGCCGCGACGACGGATGGTGGAACCCGTGGGTGCAGGTGGTGGCGGTAGTGGCTGGGGCGCGGAGGGGTTGGCGCTGCTGGCCTCTGCTCCTCCAGCTCGCGATAAGGGTCTTCGTCGTCGTCGTCGTCCTCGCATGACCGCTCATGGCCGCGACATTGACGATGGCCAGGTGAGTATGATTGTTGAGTTAGATGTATCTTGCGTGATGGTGCTCATTATAGCTGTTTGTTCGTGTGCCTGTGCATGGCACGGAAGCTGTTTGTGTTAATGCGTCAGAGGGAGCAACCGAGCAACTGTAATTGTGATCAAGAGGTGTTTGCCTGAGAAGATGATGCTTTTTAGGATTTCTTAGTTTTGTTGGTTGAATGATAACTTAGCTCACTGAGTGACAGGTTTTTTTGGATAGCTTTTACCATACTCTTTAGATAATGCACCTGAGTGACAATTGAAAGCGAACTATGAGTCGGCATCAGTCCTGGTCTCAAAATGATCCTCTTTTGGCAAATTGACCGTGATGGGTTCTTTGTTTCCGTTTGCTTTACCATTTTTGTTCCTTTTCCTTTTCTTAGTTTTTTTACCCTGATTTGGTTACTTCACTTCAATTATGGTAGTAGGGCATGCAGCTTCGATAATACTATAATGTTAAATTGTTTGGTCAGGGAAATGAAGATGTCAACCGGCGAAAACTTACAGGCGGGGTTATTGTCTAGGACGCCTCCATTTGGTCTGAGGCTATGGGTTGTGCTTGGCATTAGCATTTGGGCTGCAATTCTGTTTGTCCTAGGTTGCATATGCTTCTTCCTTATATACTGGAGGAAACGAGGTAATCGCTTTGGTGATACTGCTGAACCTGAAATCCCAGATATTACCAAAGAGATTGCAGTAGACGAAGCAAGAAACAGAGTGGCTGCAGAAAACGTCCAACGTCAAGAAAGTTACACCCTCTCATTGAAGGAGAGGCAGACCAACAAAGGTTCACGGAAAATGCTGGCTCATTTCCTCAGCTGCAAATCAAGTGGTAGCCATAATTTAGTTGGATGCAGTTCAATGTACCAAAATGATAAGGCTCAGTGCTCATACTCCAGTGACGAAGGCACCTCAGGACATAATGAGAGGGAGTACTCTCAGTATGCCACAATGTCCACATCTCCTCAGATTGGTCTCCCAGAATTCTCTCATCTGGGTTGGGGCTATTGGTTCACTCTCAGGGATTTGGAGGACGCAACAAATGGGTTCTCTGATGACAATATCATAGGAGAGGGCGGCTATGGGGTTGTTTACCACGGTCGTCTTATAAATGGAACTGATGTTGCAATCAAAAGGCTTTTTAACAACATGTAAGAGACACTGAAGTTGATTTTAGCCAAAAAGGAGTGTTTCTTCCGATAATGCTTTTTAATGATTTGCTATGGTTGTTCACTATTGACCATATACTCTGGTTATGGTTTTGCAGAGGGCAGGCAGAAAAAGAGTTCAAGGTTGAAGTTGAGTCTATTGGTCATGTTAGGCACAAGAATCTGGTGCGACTTCTAGGTTACTGCATTGAGGGAAGCTACAGGTAAATCTGTGTTTTGTTAGTTAGCCTTTATATTTTCAGTTGATCGTTCATGGATCTGCAGGAAATTGTATATTTTTCTTGCAGTGACTGCTACAATATGTCCTCTTGCTGTTACACAGCCTTCAATGTCACAAGTCAATTACAACTTAAGAAAGAAACAAAATGTTCAAGTCTGGCAGCTCGACATGGTCATATTTAATCTATTCAGCAAAATATATTAACTGATAATGATACCAAGTACTGGTATAATGGTTAGAATAATCTGTCTTTTTAGATGGTTTATGTACTTAATTATGCAAAGCACTATAGAACTCGAAAAATATGCAAAGGGCCCACTTCAAAGCCTAGAAGTGTCTTTAACTGTTATCCTACTCTAGTATCTGCATATCGTGTTTCCATAGATATGCTTTGGTTCTAAATTTTCTGATTCTGAACCATTTGCTGCAATCCTGAAATCTTAAGTTAGCATCCAGGTAATAAGAAACCTCCACAACGTCAGCTTGGTCTGCTGTTAACTTTGGTACGCAATATTTATCCATGGACCTGATATATTGCTAGAGTTCTAGAAATGGAGAACATTTAAGAGGATCTACCCGCCTTAGTAAAAATGGGTGTTCGGAATGTACACTCACCCCACCAGCTAACTGAACTAGAAGTTTCTGATATTGATAGATTGTCTGCTTTCTTAATCAAACACAATCATATACTGTATAAATGTATTACTACAGAGGCATATTCATAGAACTATAGAAGTCCATTAACCTATATCAAACTAAGCTTTTCCGTGAATCTGTTAGGTTTACAGCAAAACATCATTAGGCTTCTCACGTTGCAGGATGCTTGTCTATGAATACATCAACAATGGGAACTTAGACCAGTGGTTACATGGCGCAAGGAGTCAACATGGTGTTCTTACATGGGAAGCCCGCATGAAAATTATCCTTGACATTGCAAAAGCGTAAGAAATGAACTATCAGTGATTCTGATTTCTCCCTTTGTATATGAGACCAAGCATAAAATTTGTAAACGGAATGCTGTGCAGACTGGCATATTTGCATGAGGGGATAGAGCCAAAAGTTATCCACCGTGATATCAAATCAAGTAATATCCTTATTGATAAAGATTTCACAGGAAAACTTTCTGATTTTGGATTATCTAAGCTCTTACGTGCTGGGAAAAGCCACATTACTACCCGAGTTATGGGAACCTTTGGGTAAGCTACTAAGCTCTCGTTTTAAGTTGTAATTTTCCTGATTGAGTTGCAGGGGCTGTATAAAATACTGATCAACATGAAATTCATGTTTAACTATCTCCAATTCCTTTATTCAAAGTTGATAGCGTCTCAAGCAATTGCCACTTAATCCCCCATTGTTTTCTAGGTACGTAGCCCCTGAATATGCTAATACTGGGCAGCTAAACGAGAAGAGTGACGTCTACAGTTTTGGAGTGCTACTCTTGGAAGCAGTGACCGGAAGGGATCCAGTTAACTATGGTCGACCTACCGATGAGGTGGACATGCACAATCTCATATCTGTCACCCTTGCTGCCCGGTCGCCATTATTTTCTTAATATGGAGTTCTCACATTTAAAAGCAGTAAAACAGTTTATTTCTACATCGACTGAATCTCAGAGCTGTGTGTTGTTCTCTATGCACACGTGGATACTTCAAGCTTCATTTTTTTCCCCCTTCAATAACACAAGACGTGCTGTTTGCAGGTGCACCTGCTGGAGTGGATCAAGCTGATGGCTAGCAGCAGAAGAGCCGAGGAGGTAGTAGACCCTGCGATGGAGGCCAAGCCAACCAAACGGCAGCTGAGGCGCGCGCTCGTGGCTGCCCTCAAGTGCGTCGACCCCAAAGCGGACAAGCGGCCCACGATGGGCAGCGTCGTCCGCATGCTGGAGGCCGATGATGTTGCGCTATCATCACGGCAGGTTTGTTTTTAGCATCTTCTTTATTTTGTTTTTTTCTCCCTAAATCAATTATTAGTACAACCATTTTGTCGCCGTCGGTGTCGATGCTGAACGCCTGAACCACCTGAAGTTTTTGTATGCGCTCTTGCTCAAGGATCGGAGGAGCCCGATGGGGCGATGCGGCGACGGCGACGGTTCAGGGCGGCGTGAGCCGTCCGGGACATCGGCGAGATACGATACAGCTTTTGTATAAGCGTTACGTACGATCACTTTTTATCACCAGAAGGCCTGAAATATTTGTGTTCATACTTCATACTTTAGGGTAAGGCAACGTGTTGTTTTTTTTCCTCCGGAAAGAAATGTACTCCCTCCGTTTCATAATATAAAACTTTCTAGCATTGTCCACATACATATAGATGTTAATGAATTTAAACACATACATATGTCTAGATTTATTAACATCTAAATGACAATGCTAGAAAATCTTACATTGTGAAACGGAGGAAGTAGTATTTTCATCTGTACAGCAGCAATACGGATCCGTTCTATGGCGTCTCTTTCGGGATCTCTGATAGGATCCGTGCTTTGCTCATGAACAAAGGCACCGTCAGGCTTCAGCACAGATTGTAGAGTAGCTGACTGCTTTTTCATGGTTAGTGTTAGCAACTTGCGCTAGATATGAATCAACTCACTTCCATTTCCCATATTGTTCGCAGCAGCTATGGAAAGGCCTCCTTTTGAAACGGCTAAGCAGGAATAGTAGTTGGGTGAAACCTGGTTTATTTCCTGGCGGAATAAGTTCACCTGAGGTTCCTCAACTTAACCGCGAGATTTTTTAAGGTCCCTTAATTATAAAATCAGAAATGTGTACCCCTAAACTCACTCAAACCGTTCAAAGAAGGTCCCATGGCAGTATTTTTGTCCGGTTTTGCTGACATAGCATCCTAGTCAGAAAAAAATAAATATGTGGAGCCCACATGTAAGTGAGAAAAAAATGTGGGGTCAACAATCCTAGTCAGCAATCTTCTCCTCAATCGCTTTTTTCTTGGCCGAGAGGGGGAGTGGCAGCGGCTGCGGAGCATCGGCGGTGGCAGGTAAGAGCGGTGGCAAGCGAGTGGCGGCTCCGGGCTCGGGAGGAATGGAGGGGCTTGGGATGCGGGGGACGCGGCGGGCGAGTGCGGCTGCGGAGCGGCGGCTCTGGGCTCAGGAGGAGTAGAGGGGCTTGGGGCGCGGGGGCCGTGGCAGGCGAGCAGCGGCAGCAGTGACGCGACAGCAGCTGGTGCCGGCCGGAGAGGGCGCAGGTGAAGGCGGCGGGAGAGGGGGTGGAGCACCGTATCAGCGAAGAGGTCGCCACGGTGCGCGCACGCCGTGACCACGGCGACATCGACATGATCGGCTTCGACTTGGATGAGTTGAGAGATGCTTCTCGTGGTCGGCGCGTATCTTCTCCCGCCGTGACCGGATGATGGCTGGCTGTGGAGCCGTCGCCACGCCAACACCGTCGTCACCATCGTCCCCATGCCCTCGGGAGCGGCGGCGGTTGAGGGGATGGGCGCCCGCAGCGCGCGGATCCTTCCGCCCCCGCCAGCGGAGGTGGAGACGAAGGCGACAGGTGAGGTGGCGGTGCCCCCTCTCTTGCCGATCTTATCTCCCCCTTCTTTGTCTAGCACCAGCTGCTACCGCCACAGCAGGCGCCGTCTCTCGCCGCCGCTCGACAGCGCCGTTCGACAGTGTCGATCGCCTCCTCTCCCGCCGCTGCCGTCGCGCCGTCCGAGAGCTCATCATCGCGCCGGTCGCCTCCTCTCCTTTTCTCCCGCCGCCGCCGTCGCGCCGGCCGGCTCTCTCGCCGCCCCCGCTCCACCGCTAGCCACCTCTCTCCCCTCTGCCGCTGCGTGCACTTGAGAGAATCGGGAGAAAAGAGAAGAGAAAAAGAAAAGAATGGATAAATGTGGGACCCACACCATTTTCTCTCACTTACATGTGGGCCCCACATATTTATTTTAACTTTTTTGCTAACTAGGATGCCACTTCAGCGAAATCGGGCAGCTATACTACCTCGGGACCTTTTTTTGGACGGTTTTACATAGTTTAGGGGTACACATTTCTGATTTTGTGATTAAGGTACTTATAGAAATCTCGGTGTTAAGTTGAGGGACCTCCGGTGAACTTATTCCTTTCTTGGCAAAAGCCTGAAATAGCAGCGGAAAAGGTACACTGAAGGTCCCTCAACTTGTCATCGAGTTACAAAATCGTCCCCCAACCACAAAACCGGATACAACGCATTCCCTAACTTATAAAACCAGTGCAAACTAGATCCCTCGGCGGTTTTGACTCCGGTTTTAACCGACATGACAGTTGACTCAGCATGGGACCCACGTGAGCCCCACGTGTCAGCGTGGCCACCTCAGCCTCCTCTCTTCACCCTGTTCTCTCCCTCCTCTGTCCCTCTCTCTCACTTCGCCGAACAACAGACCGATGCTGGCGGCGGTCCAGAGCAGCAGCCGTGCCTCCGCACCCACCACCGCGGTGGCGCCCGCTTCTACCTTGGCGCCCACCGCCGCGGCGGTCGAGCGGTCCACGTGGTGGCGCGACGTTGAGCGGCCCGGGACAGCGGCGTGGCGCTGTGGCGGTCGAGCGGCCTGGGCTGCCACCATCGTCGTCCGTATGCAACCAATCGCAAATTTGGGGATGAATCTATTGATGGGAGAGGGAGACGACGAGGCACGTTGCTGCATCAAGACAGAGACAAGGAGCACCGGTCACCAAGGACATCGGGCTAGCAGTAGGCGGCGGTGCATCGTGTGTGTCTTTTCATCACTGAAGTCTTGTGGAGATGAAGAGTTGAATACACAGAAGATAAGCGTGCGCTGTGGGGCAGCAAGGACGGCGTGCAGCTGCCACCGACTTTTGCCCCCACAACGCTTGTCGCGCTGCCTCGGCCGGCCTCTGCCGCCGCTGACCGTGCGCTGTAGCCTATAGGTGGCCTCCATGCCGTCCGGGTCGAGGTGCACCGCCGCTCGCCGCTCGCCGGACCCGTGTTGTCTTCGTCGCTGTCGCTGTCCGCTTCCACCCACCAAACGCGTCCCTCTCCTCCGACGGTGGGCACGTCGTGCGCGCATGCGGGATGGGAGGAACGGCGTGACAAGACGGATGGCAAAGAGTATATGGGCACGGCGGACGCGGGCGGCTGCCGATGAGGGAGGAGATGCCACCGGCGGCGGCGGCGGCGGCGACTCTCCGCCGGTTAGCGTCCAGCCCGCGGCGACGACGACGGCCGCACGCCGCACTCCCCCCCACACCCCGCGCGCGGCGCCCGACGCCTCCGACATGCCGCCGCCCACGACCGTGAACCGCCGTAGCAACCCGGCCCTCAGCCCCTCGTCCGCCTCCTTCGCCGACGACGACGCCGCCCGACGCACACGCGGCCGAGACTGCCTGCTAGCCCCTGCCCGGTTTTGCAGTTTTCACCAACTCGCCGGGAGCTCGCTGCGGAGGATGAAGAGTTGAAAACGACGCCGACGCCGCACGCGAACGAAAGCGAGGTCGCCGCCCGCCTCGCTCGCCTGCTCCGCGGTTCTCCTGCGAAGGCGGCGAACAGCTCCGCGGTCGGGGCACCCGCCGAGTCCATCGCCGCCGCGTGGCCCGTTCTCCCGTGTCGCCGCGCCACCGTGTCGCCCATTCTCCCGCGTCCCCGCGTCACCTGTCACCGCCGCCGCCCAGCTCCTCCCCCGCTGGCGCCGCCCAGTTTTTCCGCACCAGCCATCCGCCGCGCCAGCCGAACCGTACCCAGCTGCTTTCGTGGGAGGAGAGAGAGGAAGAGAGGTGGAGATGGGAGGGGAAGTAGAGGCTGACACGTGGGACCTATGTGGGTCCCACGCTGAGTCAGCTGCACGTCGGTCAAAACTGGAGTTAAAACCGCTGAGGGATCTAGTTTGCACTGGTTTTGTAAGTTATGGGATGCGTTGTATCCGGTTTTGCGGTTCGGGGACGATTTGTAACTCGATGACAAGTTAAGGGATCTTCGGTGTACTTTTTCCAAATAGCAGCCGGACTTCTGAACGGGCTACTCGCGAGCGTGTGGGCCGGAATGTCAGCTGGACGTAAATGGGCCTCTCGATGGCCCATCCACCTCGCCGCCGACGGGGCGCCATCAACTGCGCTGCCGCATCCAATCCCAGCACCCGCGAATCTGCGAGTTCGGCCTTAGCACCGCGGTCAGCAGAGCAGGCGATTGGTGGCGGCGCCGGCGGGACTCGCCGGGCCAGCGCGTGCCACAGCCTGCCGACGAGGTCAGGGATTCAGGAAGGCGCACCGCGCACTGTTGCTTCATCTGCAGGGCCGGCGTTCTTTCGGCGGGGGAGTGCCGGGTGGCGGTGGGCGTCGATCCCCTCGAGGTGCTCGACCGTTTGCCTGACCGGGGCGCGGTGCATCAAATGAATCGACGGGAAGCCGGGAACTCGACCAGATCAACAGTGCGAGCCCCCAAGCTGGTCAGTGGAGACTGGAGCAATGTCTCAGTCTCACAGTTTCGGGGAGTCTCCTCCGATTCAGAGGTTGGTGTGGCCGTGTGGGCAGGTTGCGGATTTTTCCGTTTACTCCTATTCAGGGATATGATGGATTGATGTGAGTATGTGACCAGGTCGCCGATATGTCACGATGAGCTTCCCCTCCAGGTTGATCCGTCCACAGATTCCAAGGTGCTGGTAGCTAAACCTATGTTCTGTAGGAATTTCCCCATATATCCAGCCATCCTGCATCAACATGGATGGAACTTCCCGTATATCCATCCGTTGTGGCCACCCAGAGACCAAAGACACTGGATCATCATGGTCAGTTATTATGTTAGACAAGATAATCTCCAGTCCGTCACGTTGGAGCTCAAGCTTAGCTAGAACATTTTTGACAAAGGGTTACTGACAAATCAAGGATTCAAGGTATGAAACATCCCTTGGGAACTTCAGCTGTGGACATGCAAATCTGTTAAAATGAGGCATATACATATTCTTATTATGAATAAGAAGGTAAGTACGGACACACCCTACAACTAGCATTATGACATGCAAATGTTCAGACAGGAAGGTAAGTACCTTGAAAAGGCAGAGGGCAGTTATCATTATATATTATCTTTACTAGCTTCAATCCATCCAGCTTAAAAAATAAATCATATAACAACAACATATAATACAATGACAACAGAATGTCAAGCACATTACAGACAAATATGCTAGTAGGTTTCATCGGAAACCAGATATTATAGTAGGAACAGTAAATATCCACTTGGAATAGTAAAACACCTAAAATTATTCTTTGAGTTACTAGGTTTTTCAGAAACTAGTAGCTTGAATAATTCATTTGCAGTGGAAACAACGCTCTTCACGCTGCATCTTGGTTTTTCCGCATCAAGCGACTCCAGCTTATAGCCACTTGTACATAGGCCTTATCATATAAATTGTCAATGATCCGAAAGTAAGCCATCATCCAGGTTCTCTTCATCATCATGGTGCAAAACACAGTCCATAGACCAATCACAAATCCTATGCTCATCCCGAGGTAGAGAGATCTCATATGGCTTCTATCTTCATAGAAACTTTGTTGTGTACCATTAGTTGAACAGTTCTTCAAGAGAGGAGGCCCACAAAGACCAGGATTTCCAACATATATATAAATCTGGTCATCGAGTGCTTGTAGCTGTGATCCTGATGGTATTGTGCCTGATAAATTGTTGTATGATAGGTTCAAGTGGCTTAGAGAAGTTAGAGCTGACAAACTTGGGGGGATTTCACCAGATAATTCATTGTAGGACAAGTCAAGGGATTCCAACTGCTTCAAATCACCAATTTGATCATGGATTGTTCCACTGAACTGATTACTTGATAAATTTAAATTGGTAAGTCCAATAAGTAAATGTATTTCTTCTGGAATATGCCCTGTTAACTTGTTACATGAAAAATCAAGATTAACCACCTGATTGTAGATTTCAAAGGTGTAGTCACGCTGTTGATCTTTCGTGATTACTGGTATGCTCTCTTCAAAAATATAGTCCTCACTATTCTGAGCTATAACAGTCATTGCTTTGAAGTTTGCTAAGGAGTCTGGTATGGATCCTGATATGTTGTTGTGTGCTATGTCCAGAAAATGAAGTTTACCAAGGTAAATAATGTTCTTGGGAATATGGCCATGGAAAATATTTGACCGCAACCTCAAGATTTGCAAGTTTGGCATTCTTTCTGGTAACCACTTTGGCAAACTTCCAAAAAACCTGTTGTGTGAAAGATCCAGGAACAATAATTGTGAGGCATTTTGAAGAAATTGAGGAAATATACCTGAAAGTTCATTGTGGTTCAAGGCAAGACTGAGCATACTAGAACCAAATTTATCTGCAGAGTTTGTATTGGTCATATCTGACTGTTTCCAGCATTGCATTTGTTCAAGATCTCCTGTTATTTTGTTTCCTGACAGGTCCAAACGTTTCAAACCAGTCAATTGGCACATGGATGGTGGGATGCTGCCTGTAATATTATTATTGGCAAGCAACAGCTCCTCCAGCAGTGGAGCTTTGAGAGATGGCAATGGCCCTGACAAAAAGTTTGAAGACAAATTCAAGCGAGTCATACTTATAGGGAGTTGAGGAACTTGACCTGTCAACAAGTTGGAACCGAGATATATGCGACCAACTGAGATGTGTTCTAGACTTGGCGGTAATGAGCCATGCAACTTATTTCCTGATGCTTGCAAGAATGAAGCTCGGGAAAATGTCACCCAGAACCAATCCGGAATAACATCATCCAATTTTGTATTTTCAAGAACAAGAACATCAATGTCAGTCTGCCATCTAAGCCACAATGGAAAGCGCGGCCCCAGCTGACATGATCGGAAAGCTGCGTTTCTTAGTTTGAATGGCGGAGAAGAATTTGTATGTATATCTATTTTCAAGAAGTTGTCTGACAAATCCAGATACTTCAGACGAGATAAATGTTCAACATGATCCTTAGAGATTACGCCTTGGAACCTGTTATAGCTAAGATCCAATGTTGTCAAATTACTGAGTGATCCAATCCCTGGTGGTACAGGTCCACTGAAGCTATTGTGGGAAAGATCCAAAATTTGTAAATTACCTAATGCTCCAACCCACGATGGTGCAGGGCCGCTGAAATTATTGTAGCTAAGATACAACACTTTCAAATGACTTACTGCTCCAATTCCAAGAGGCACAAAACCGCTGAACTTATTGTTGTTAAGATACAAAATTTTCAAATTTACAGCTCCAATCTCAAGCGGTACTGGACCACTGAGGTTATTGTAGCTAAGATCCAATATTGTCAAATTACCTAGTGTTCCAATCCATGATGGTGCAGGGCCGCTGAAAGTATTGTACGCAAGAAACAACTTTTTCAAGTTACTTACTGCTCCAACTTCAAGAGGCACAAAACCGTTGAACTTGTTGTTGTTAAGATACAAAGTATCCAAACTACTTACTGTTTCAAGCGGCACTAGACCTCTGAAGTTATTGTTGCTAAGAGCCAATATTTTCAAATTACCCAGCGCTCCGACACCAGCAGGTAGCTCGCCAACCAACTTGTTTCCAAACAATAGAAGAACGCTGAGATTGCTCATTTTGTGAATGAACGTTGGGAATGTTCCACTCATATTTGTGTATTCTAAATTCAACTCTTCCAAAGAATTCAACGAGCACATTGGCAACCGTTCCATGAATTCCCTTAAGTCCGCATCAATATTGTTGCCATCCATTAGCAATACTTGCAAATTACACATATTCTCTAAGGTCTTCGGAAACAAACCAACAATAGAACTGTAACTTAGATCTAAGACACGTAGGGCAGACATGTTACCCAATCTATCAGGGATAGGTTCTGCAGGTGCAAACCATGCATATTCTGAGAGATAAAGCTCCTCGAGGCTAGTGAGATCCCAAAACCAGTTGTGTCGGAGTGGCGTGTAGCTAAATTGATTGAATGATAGATCAAGGACCTCAAGATTTGTGAGGTTTGAATGGGATAGTTTAGATACAGTATGGTTAAGGCCACACTCGGACAAACGAAGAACTTGAAGAGCAGGAAGCATGTTCACCATGTGAACCCAATCCCTCACGGAACTGAGGTCAACGTCAGTCATGTCAACATGCCTCAAAAAGGTGAGACGTGGCAACCAAGAAAGATCAGTTGAAGACATGAAAAACGTGTTCTGTTCATGGAAGAAATAATTCGAGCTAACATCAAGGTATTGTAAGCTGGAAATATTACCAATTTGCGAAGGTATTTTCCCACCGAAACCTGCCCAGGAGAGGTTGAGATATCTCAAGTTCTTGAAAGAGCCCATGAAAACAGGTATGCTCGTTCCGTTGAAGAAATTGCAACTCAGATCGAGATGCCTCAGATGATGTAAAGCAATCAAAGAGGAGCTCAATTCACCTCCCAATAGGCTCAAGTCACCGCCTCTCAATAGGTTCAACCCATCAGCATCATAGAAATCGTACCAGAAATTATTAGTGTTGCGGAGGTTAAGCGCAACGATATTGCCAGTTCTGTTGCTGCACCGGACTCCCTTCCACTGGCAGCAGTCGTCACCCTGCCATGACGACAGCCTGCCAGAAGGGTCCAGAAGGCTTGCCTTGAAGGAGAGCAGCGCATCACGCTCGCCGGTGACGCATCTCGCATGAACACAACAGGTAGATGGTGTCTGCGAGATGAGTAGCCACAAGATCATTGCAGCTCCTCGGAGGAGGAGCGCCAGTTTAGACATATTGACCTCAGTTGGTGGAGTAACTAATTGGCTGTTGAACCTAATTTCACAAGAGTTGTAAGAGGCTAAGAGCACGAACGGGATGGTTATGAAGCATCTATGATTCTATGCTTATCGGAAGACCAAAGACTTCATTTGGTAGCAGTTCGGTTGTCTTTTTGGGTAGATGTCCTTTTTACTCCTTTGGATATATGGATGCTGCCATTGTATCTTTAGCGTGGGGGATCAGGCAGGAGGCTCCCTATCACGTTTAATTCCATATGTGAACAGGAAGATCGATCAGTGTCATTGCTTGGATTTTTATCCAATAATCAGTTCCAATGAGGGTGTGTTTAGTTCACGGCAAAATTGAAAGTTTGGTTGAAATTGGAACGATGTGATGGAAAAGTTTAAAGTTTATGTGTATAGGAAAGTTTTGATGTGATGAAAAAGTTGGAAGTTTGAAGAAAAAATTTGGAACTAAACAAGGCCCGAGTATGAGGGGATGTGTGACCCGGTGGGGGAAGCGAATTTCCTTTAAGGTTTCTGAACAATTCTTTGACTAAAGGAGAAACAAAAATATTACTTCCTCCGTTTTAGATTATAAGACGTTTTGACTTTGGTCAAAGTCAAACTGTTTCAAGTTTAACTAAGTTTATAGACAAATATAGTAATATTTATAATACTAAATTAGTTTTATGAAATCAATAATCGAATATATTTTCATAATAAATTTGTCTTGGCTTGAAAATGTTATTATTATTTTCTACAAACTTGATCCAAAGTCAAAACGTCTTATGACCTGAAACAGAGAGAGTACATTCTTTTCAAAATGTATGACACTGTTGATTTTTAGTTAAAAATATTTGACCATTCGTCTTATTAAAAAAATAAATATGTAAAAGTATAAGTTAAAATTATATTTTATTTAATGGTAAAACAAGTTACAAGAAAATAAATAATACTTGTATAAATTTTTTTGAATATGACGAATGGTTAAACGTTATACGAAAAATTGAACGACGTCATACATTTTGAAATGGAGGAAATATTTTGGTTGCCAACATACACCGAAATGCCTGGTCATCGAGAACAAGTTGAAACGTCTCAATGCTGTGAGAGCTGATGAGCTGCGAGGAATTTCATCCGACAGCTCCTTGACCTTGTGTGGTAGATAGGTCAGCACGAGAGTTGCGGAGCGGAACGCCTATGTGTTGTGGCGACAAGTGAGCAGATGGAGGACTTCGCCCATTTGGAAGCCCAAAGCTTTAGGAGCGGCTATGAAATCTGGCTCATTAGCAAACACTGCCCCACTCATTCGCACCTTAGGTTTTGTGCTGGAATCTGGATCAAAGTAGGAATTTGGATGGATCATATATACTACCACTACACCATGTCCCAAAATTGGCAACAACTAATCTGTCGGCGAAGACCACCTTTAACATCAATAGTCCGTCGGAAAAGGCCTCTGGCGATAGAGAGGATGTGTCAGTGGAAAGCCTGTCGGTACACGGTATTACCGACAGATAGAACTTCTACCTAAATAAGTCTATTTTTGTCTTTTTTTGAAATTCTTGTCCCTTAAATATAAAACCGGATATAACGTTTTCCCCATTTTTTAAAAAGAACTGGTGCAAATCAATGCACCGATTTTTGATGTTAAAATATAGGGACAATTTCGTTTTTGCTCCCACTTTGATCTTTAATATTGATTTTGCCCCTACTTTTTAGGGTTTTCGTTTTTTCCCTCACTTTTTTAAACCGAAAAATACTTTTGCCCCTGTTTTGGATGGAGTTAACGGTGTTAAATAGGACATTTATACCCTCTACCACATCTATCATAGGCAAACAAATAGATCAGACAGCTAGCTAATTAAGCTATCTTAATTAGAACCATGCGACCAACACAGAGCTAAGTAATGGCTGCCTCCTCCTCCTTCGTGTTTGCGGCGGTGCTCCCAACTCCACGGTGGCGCAGGTGGCGGAGGCGCCGACGACGAACGCCTCGGCGACGTGGTTCGGGACGGTGGTGGTGATCGACAACCCGCTCACCGACGGTCCCAACCTGACCTCCTCGAGGCTGGTCGGACGCGCGCAGGGGATGTACGTCGTCGCCGCCGGCAAGGACGCGCTGTCGCTGATGATGGCGATGAACTTCGTGTTCGCCCACGACGGCCCGTGCAACGGCAGCAGCCTCGCTGTGTTTGGCGCCATGTTTAGCAGCCTCGCCGCTTGGCCGCCGGCCGGTCGCCGCCGCCTCCTGCTCGCGCCGAGAGGAGCGGCCGACGCCCGCTTTCCGCCGCCGCCTGCGCCGCCGGCTAGGTCTCGGGTTTGAGGAGAGGAGAATTCCAGGGGTAAAAAGTTAAATCACTAATTCGAAAAATCTTTATTCTCTTTATTTTTCTATTTTTTTTCTGCCATAAACCCCATCCAACTAACTTCCATCATCCAAATAAGAGGTAAACGTCTCTTTCAGTTAAAAAAAAAGTATGAGCAAAAACGAAAATCCTAAAAAATAGAAGACAAAATTAATATTAGAGATAAAGTGGGGGGGGGGGGGGGAAACGAAATTGTCCAAAGTATACTTTTTCGATCAATGGAAACAGCTGAGAGAGAGGCTAAATAGACTTGCTCCTGTACTAGCCGTTTTATGGCCCATCCACAGGCGCACGGCCCTCCTGCGCATGCGATTGGCCGCGGTGCACCGGCGGCAACTGCGGACCGACTCGCCGCCGCCGGCCTTCCTCGCGCGCTCGCTGCAGTGCAGGGCTAGCGCGTGCCGCGTCCTGCCGGTGAGGTCGGGGTCAGGAAGCACCACGGTTGCTTCCTCAGCTGGGCCGCCCCTTCCGTGGCGGCTTGCCGGGCGGAGGTGGACGATGATCCCCCTCGAGGTGTTCGATCGTATGCCTGACCGGAGCTCGACACAGCAACGATCGATGGGAAATCGATCCAAGAGGCAGCGCGGCTGGGCGGGCCCCAAGCAGCTCGTTTATACTGGAGAACCTCACGATTTAGGGGAGACGGGAGCCGCCACCGATTCAGAGGTCGGTGTGGCCAGGTCGCCAGTCTGTGTCATGGGCTTCCCTTACAGAGGCTGATCCGCTCTACAAATTCCAAATCCAAGGTTGCTGTAGCTAGAACAGCAATGTTTGGCTGACACTTCTTCCTATATCTCTATCAATTGATGAACGAAATGGATCAAAGGTACTGAGAAATGATTACTGCACAAGTCAAGGTATGAAACTTTCCCCTTGGAAACTCCAGTACTGGACCTGCAAATCTGTCATAGAATGACCCGTATCCATATGCCGAGGTCTCTACCCTTCTTACAAATAGAATTTTGATATCCAAATTATTAAACGGTAAGTAGTACTGTATTGCAATGCTATTGGAGAAAAAAATGAATCTTATTACTAAGAAAAAAAAGGCATAGTGCAGTTGCCATTAGAGTATATATATTTTTTTCCTTGGAAGAAAAAGATTATGGAGTGCATCTTCTACCTTGTAGAACAGTAGAACTTATTCATTGAGTTATGAGGTATTTAGATACTAGTTCAATAATTCACTGGCAGCAAACACAGGCTCTTCATGCTGCATTGCCTTGTGTTTTTTGCACCAAGCGAGTCCAGCTTATAACCACCTGTACATAGACCTTATCATAATTGGCTGCCCCAACACCGACCAGTATCCCCCCACCCCACGACCACCACCACCGGCTAGTCCTTTTTTTAAAAGGGAAGTCTTGTTTTTATTTGCCATCTCATTTTTCAGTGTTTTCTTGGACATGCTTCCGCTTCTCTGAGTTAGTGTACAGGAGTGATGATAATCATCTTCAGTATAAACCAGTCTGATTTGAATTAGTAAACATCTCAAGTCTTGAGAAACAGTATCGAGGTATAAAAACTGCTTGCATTTGGTTTGGGTCTCAAAAGTTTTGTAAAATAAGTGCCCATAGCAAAACATGCCAAAATTGTATTTCATCAAAGCCAGAGAAACACTTGGCAGAGAATACCCGCTACTAGTGATAAAAACGGTCGAAAATTTGTCCTAACCTTTTCCGTTCCCATATTTTTCCCCTCAAATATGTAATCAAAATAACGTTGGAAATAAAAACAATACCAAAAATATCAGAATATCAAAATCAAAACTATCGCAAATGAACATCGCAAACATATCACAGTAAGTTTACATTTTTTTTTTCAAGTACAAGTTGAACACACAAAGTCACTCATGCATACACACCACACTCAAACTCACACAAAACAACCAATTAGATATGTATCCTTTACACATTCAAATGAGATTGTAGAGACATAACATCATGTAGTGCAGGCACGTGCCCAATTAGATATGTATCCTTTACACATTCAAATGAGATAGTAGAGACATAACATCATGTAGTGCGGGTACGTGCTTTACCACTAAAAGCATGTACTATGTTCAAGAATTAAATCTCCAGGAAAATACAAACATTTTTTCCCCATGCCCAGTGGTGGATGAGAAAAAAAGCTTGGGAATTTTTTTATATAGCCAGCATTTGCTATAGAAACTACGTTTCAATTTTTCACATCTACCCGTTCTATGCATGACTATTTTTCTAATTATTTTTTACCAAGACATACCATTTGTCCTCAGTTTCTCCTCCATAACCTCCTGCAGGTTACGGCCACTTGAACATACGTTCTGTCATACAAGCCATCGACAAACACAAAGCAAGTATTTCTCCATCTTCTGCTGAAGAGCATAAAATAGAATACTAGCAAGAGGCCAACCATGAAACCGATGATCATGCTGAAGTGAAATGACATGTTGACCAAGTCATCTCGTTCAATTTTAGTATCACCATTGATAGAGCAGTTATTTGGTAGAGGATGCCCACAGAGATCGATGTTTCCAACATACATAGATGCAGGGTCTTCAAGAATGTCGAGTTGATTTCCTGCTGGAATTCTTCCAGAAAGATTGTTGTACGACAAATTCATGTGGCTCAAGTAGGTAAGAGATGCTATACTGCTGGGAATCCCACCAGAAAGCACATTGTGTGACAAATCAAGGGACTCCAATTGTGACAAGGAACCAATCTTCTCAGGAATTTGTCCACTTAAGCTATTCCATGATAAGTTCAGGTTTGTCAACGCAACAAGACTGATAATCTCTTCAGGAATCTCTCCAGTAAGATTGTTACTAGATAAATCAATGTTCACCATGTATACGATTTCACCTGTATATAGGCGTTCTTGACCTTTTGTGACTACAGATATGTTCTCAATATAATTAACCATGTCATTATCATTGATCCCAATTCCATGTCTAATAGCCCCTGAAAATCTGTCTTCTTTATCTTGTTCGAGTGTCATCCTATGAAATTTCGCCAAAGAATTCGGTATGCATCCTGAAAAGTTGTTATGTGCAAGGTCTAAATATTGAAGACCCGCCAGACTGGTAAGTTCAATTGGAATATGACCACTAAAGCTATTAGAACGCAGCCGTAAGAATACCAAAGAAGGTAATTTTTCCCCAATCCATGCAGGCAGTGTCCCAGAGAATTGATTTTCAGCAAGATCCAGAAAAACAAGGTTTTTGCAGTTCTTAAAGAACGAAGGAAATTGTCCTGAGAGGTTATTTTTTCTTAAGCTTATATTGATAATATTCGTACATGTGTAGTTTGCTGAGCTTGAATCGATTGCACAATCAGAAATTGGCCCAGTTATCTTGTTTCTTGATATATCCAACAGTTCCAGAGACTGCATCTTGCACAAATAAGATGGAATTGAACCAGAAAGGGAGTTGCCATACAGAACAAGTGATACTAGAGCTGACGCTCCTATGTCTGATGGTAGAGGCCCGGATAAATTGTTCTTTGAGAAGTCTAAGCTGGTTAGACTGACAGGAAGCTTGGGTATTGGACCACTAAACTTATTAGAACTGAGATCCATTACGATCGTTCTCATGTATTCCAATGTAGATGGAAGGGCACCTGCAATCTGATTGTTTCTCATATTTAAATGTGTTACTGATGACGCTGCTTTCCAAAACCAGTCAGGAACCTTGTCTGATATGCTTGTGTTTGAGATATCAAGATTGTATACATCTGTTAGATACCTGAGCCATGTTGGGAATTTAGGCCCTAACTGACAGGACCGAAGTTCAATATCTGTTATTTGCTTGAAAGGAGGAACCCAGGTAGAATTCACCTTGATGGCTATGTGGTTATTATCAGACAAGATCAACAAATCTAGACTTTCTAGGCCTGATAAATGGCCTTCATGTATGACCCCATCTAGATTGTTGGAGCTGAGGCCCAACATTGTTAGATTACTGAGCTCTCCTATCCAAAGTGGGATGGGACCTGTGATATTGTTATTACCAAGCTCAAGCATGCTCAAATTGCTCAAGGGTTCTAGTGTTGTTGGTAGGCTTCCAGTCAAGTTGCAGTCCGGTAGAAACAACACTTGTAACTTATTCCATGAGCATCTAGGCAATCTATTGAATATTTCCGTTATATTCCCATTGATGTTGGTTCCAGCAACATTAAATTTCTCCAAGTTACATAGGTTCTTCAGGTTAAATGGTATCATTCCCACAAGATTATTGCCTGATAAATCAATATCCACAATAGAGGTCATATTGCCTATCTCGTTTGGAAATGGTCCATAGAAACCGCTATCTGAGATATCTAGAAGTTTAAGACTAGTTAAATCCCAAAACCAATTGGGTGCAATCCTCTTGTTGAAATTATTAAGTGAAAGGTCCAGAGTTTCAAGAGATGTTAGGTTGTTGTTCGGAACAGAATCGACCGTGCTGCTAAGCTGGCATCCAAACAAACGGAGAAATCTAAGAGATGGAAGCTTGTTCACCACCGAAACCCAGTCCACAACCGCACTGAGATTCACAAGGCTCATGTCTAGATGCTCGAGAGAAGATAACCGTGACAACCAGGATACATCCGTTGAATATAAGCTAGAATTATCATTAGAACCAAGACTGAAGTAGCGCAAGTTGGAGAGATTACCCAGCTGCGGTGGCACTGTCCCAACGAATGTCGACCAGGATAGGTCGAGAGATCTCAGGTTGTGGAGAGAACCCAAGAACTCCGGTAGCGTCCCACTGAAATTGTTGCAGCTGAGGTCGAGATGCTCCAGTTGCTTTAAGCCAAGCAACGAGGGGCCTATGCTGCCTCCGAGTCCTGGTTCCAGCGGAACCCATGGGGGCAAGATGTTGCAGCTACCTCCTGGGAGATTTAGCTCAACAATATGCCCGGTCTCGTTGTTGCACCACACGCCATTCCATTGACAACAATCGTCACCCTCCCATGACGAAAGGAGGTTTCCAGGGTCTAATAATCCTGATTTGAAGCTGATAAGTGCAGATCTCTCACTTGGAATACAACCACCTGTGCTATTGGCATTGGCTGAGGCCTCATTGGAGATGATTGGGGTGAACAAAAGCAAGGCTAAGGCTATTAGAACGTGGATGCATCTAAACACGTCCATGTATTGTTTTTGCAATGCAACTCGATCTAATCCTCTCAGATTGCTGGAACTTACTTGGCATATATCATACTATATATAGTAGCAGTCGACAGCTTAACTGTCCTGGGGCCTATTTGGAGGAGCTTCTATCTGCTGCAGCTTCCCCAGAATTAGAAGTTCCTCTAAAAAATTCAGCTTTTTAGTCCAGATTATAATAAACTATAGTTATATATAGAATAAAAAATAAACTAGAAGTTAGAAGGTAAAAAACCAGTTTTCCATATTCTCAGAAATTGATTACCAAACCAGTTGCTTCTCAAAATCTTAAGCTCTCCAAACAGATCCCTAATAGCGAGCACTAGACAGAAGAAAGTGCTTGTCCGATCGATGTTCGTCGTATGCATAGCCAAACCAAGATGTTCGGTGGTGTTATTTTCTCCTGAAGATAAAGATAAAATGAAGATTAAGTGTTTTACGTAAAACGAGGTGTTATTAACGTACGATTAATTGAGTTTTAATTATTACAAACTTGAAAAATAGATTAATTTGATATTTTAGAGCAACTTTCGTATAGAAAGTTTTTCGCACGAAACAGACCGTTTAGTAGTTTGAAAAGCGTGTCACGAGTATCCAAAATTTTAGGGCCCCTTTGAATCGTAGGAATGAAAAAATAGAGGAATAGGAAAAACACAGGATTCTGACAGGAATACAATTGTAAAACAGAGGATTGCAAAACATAGGAAAAACATATGAATGGCCGTTTGATTGGACCACAGGAAAAACGCAGGAATCAGATGAGAGAGATAGACTCAGAGGAAATGTTCCAAGAGATTAGACCTCTTGCTAACTTTCCTTTAAAATGTGTATAGGATTACTCATTCCATAGGAATTTTAAAGGATTAGATATGATTCAATCCTTTGTTTTAAAGGCCTTCATAGGATTTTTTTTCTATAGAATTGAAATCCTCCAAAGTTTCTATATTTTTCGTATAAATCAAAAGAGTCCCTTATCCAATTTATGAACAGTCAGTCAAAGTCTTGGTCTACGTCGTCAAAGAGTGCCTTTTTTTAGACCAACTGACCATGAGAGTGTGCATGGATATCAATCGTCTCGCTGTCACGGGACGCGGTGCCCAGCCGCCCGTGGTGTCGGACCGAGCCGCGGTTTCGCCGGTGCCCGATGACCTGTTGGCTGGCTGTTGCCTCCCCTTCGCTGTCGCGCCCTCACATGCAACTTCTCCTGAGCAAACCACGAATTTTGTTTCTTTCCTCAAATTGCGAATTCTTCCCTGTATAATCTGACCAATGATTACCTTGGCGTTTGACTTTTCTTTTAAAGACACATTAAATATCAACTTGTTTGAGATTTATTCGTTGAATATTAAAGTTAAAAATAATTATTTTGATAGGAGCATGCTACGTGACTAAGTAGAAATGATATTGTTTTGAAAAAACTTCAACTAAATCTTATAATAATCTGATCTAGTATCAACTTCAAAAGTGTGAAGTGAACATAGAAGTTATATATGCTGCATGCTAGAATTTAGAGTCAATAGTCATGCAAGTTTTCATTAATTTTGGATAGAGATTTAGCAATAGACTTGAACTTTGAATAAATTACTATTCTTCTTTGGCTGGTGTGGTTGTGTTGTCTTTTAATCTACATTTGTTTTTATCTGTCGTGCTTGGGTTTCAAACAAAAACTTTATACCAAGTGATTGTAGCTCAGTTGGTTTAATATCCATTATAAAAAAATGATTTGTTGTAAATACCTCCTTCTAATCTAAAGTAGTGAAAGCACTAAACTTTCTTGCAAAATTAATGCGCCACGTCATCAGAGAAACATGGAACGTCCGATTCTTCCTCTAAACGTTGTAAACCGTCGGATCCTGCAATCGGTGAAATCTTGTCTTGATCCCTCCAGAAACTTCTTTTACAGTCCAGTCCTTCCACACCCCTAATGTTGCATTTTCCTCCTCCTAACGCTCTCCTCGCGACCACCCGTCTCGCATAGGCATAGCCGCACGCGCTGCAGCCTCTATCCTCATCGCCGTCGTCGCCGCCCTCTCCCGCGCCGCTCCTCTCCACCACCGTGGCGGCGTCACCTCGTCCTCCATTTCCCCATCCACATCTCCTTCACCGTCTCTTACACCTCCTCTCCGTTCCCAGCACCTCCGCACCTCGTCCTCCCCATCCCCATTGCCCCACCGTCGCCACCTTCATCTCCCCGTCTCCATCGCCTCATCCTCTTCCCCAACACTTTTATCTCTTTCTCTCCACATATAGATCAATCATGCGACAAATTAGCTCGATCTATAGATGGATCTTAGCGGCATTGTCGATCTGTGCCCAGGATGAGGAGATCGGGGTTGGGGAGATGAGGAGGCGACAACTGCGTGTCGTCAGAAGTCATCGCCATCTCCTCCCTTCTTCCTAGCTAGCTCCCAGCCTCGCCTCAACTACCACTCGTCAGGAACTCAGGAGTCAGGATTGCTCCAAGCATGCATGACAAGATCTTAGCTATGCCTATGCTTCAGCCGATAACTGGCTTCCTTGATTTCACCATCCATGCACACAAGATGCTCGATGAAAAGTTTACTTGAGATTGGTCTGCTATTTGATCAGTTCCCGTGGGAACTCCCCAGCTAGCTAGCTTAAACTTGCGATTAATTTAACTCAAGCAATGAAGCGAATAAGCGATGCATTCATCCGTCAGTTGATGATGGCTTTTGGTATGCAGCTTTTGAACTTAATGTGCTCTGATTTTATATTAGATTTTTGTTCTCTTCCGTTGGTGTGTCTTAACATTGTTGTCTTCCTTCACTAACTAAATAATTAATATCATTTTAAATAAGAGAATAGTGATGAAAACTTATCAATTATGGTCTAGAAGGATAAGGCACTGAAATTTTCTTTAACTGACAGAGTACATCTTCAAGGAAGAAGCAGCAACCTTTTCTACTATTGACAAAGCGCATGATTGTTTGTCACAGGGTAAAGTAACTCACAGAATGCCAATTTACCTATTTTACTACATTGTCAGATTCCATATGCTCATGTACATCAGCACAACGATTCATTTGATGCTCATATTTGGTTTTAGAAATGGTAAATTTTCTCTTAGAATAACTCCTATATGACTATAATTGGTCTTTAGATTTCACATATTTCATTTTGCTGCTGAAAGCTAGATTGAATTGAAGAGCTGCAAATACAGTAATCCGTATGGATATACATCGGATTTATTTACTCTTTTATCATACTCCAAACCCAACCTAATTCATTTTTGTTAACTCTGCAAAGTGCACATGGTAGGAGTAGGACAACTTAGGTTCATACACCTTTGAAGTCAGAAATATTTTGTAGATCACTTCGTTAGATTTAATGATATATGATTTTTTGTAACATAACATTTAAGTTCTTTTGATTGGCAAGATAATGTATATTTAGAAAACTAATTAAAGGTTATTACTTAAGATAAGCGAAAGAGATACTTCCACCCTATGCAGCGGTGGTTCTAACAATTACTATTTATTAAGTCATATGGTATTGTCAATTTTCAAATTTAAAGTAGAATTTCATACCATATTTTGACTCATATATACAACGTTTTCATACGGGTATTTAATGTCGCGCAACGTGCGACTAAGTGGCTAGTTTATCTTTGGTTTGATATTCCTCCACAATTAACAATTGCCACTGTTCGCGTGTTTTTTCTTGCCTTTCTTCACATGTATTATATAAATTAGCACATCTTTTGATGGTGATATACATTTGCACAATGCTATGTCGACCTCATCTTTCTCATCTTAAATCTGCCAAAGAAACAAGCCACTATTGAACCCTGTGAGACAAGGGTAAAAGCAAATTTAATAGTAGAGCTTACTAGTATCTATAAGTTTATTGCAGAGCTAACATGTATAATACATTAAATTAGCTATAAGGTTAGCTCTATATTTTTTCCTCCTCTCTCGGATCTTTCTCTTACTACGAATTTAATGCATATTTCTTGAAGCATGTGTAGAGCTAGCTTTCACATGAGAATCAACTCTCCCCACTTTTCTTTATCTCTCTTTCACATAATCATGTAACACATAAGCATATAGCTTGCTTATAACTCACTACTATCATTGCTCATATAGCTCATCTTCCAGCAACCTTGATGTTCAAGAGCAAAGACTCGTGACCACCATCGTCCAACAATATGCATGCTAGACACCATGAGCAGACATGAGTGACAACCACGTAACAATAGTTGTGTTATCCTGTGGGGTTTGCGACCACGAAAATGGATGAGTAATGGTAATATTGGGGAGAATCTTAAACTAAAATGAATTAGGATCGGATGAGATATTTGCAACAAATCATCTTATATCGAACTCAAGACGACATTTAGGATGGTTTTTGTATTTTTTTTTTTAAAAAACTATTGGACCAGGACCACACTCAGGAAACCCGGCCGGAGTCTAACACTGGCTAACATGTTGGACGAGCAAGGATTGTCAAAATCAAGATCTTGTGGATAACTAATGAATCCAAACTTAGCAAGGCAGTAGCTCCTCTAACATTGCTAAATGCACACAAACAATGTTAGCAAACAGTTCGTCATGGTTAAAATTAGCCAGAAATATCGTATATATATTTCTTTTGCAAATTTCTGCACCCAAATGACCAAGTGACTGAAGTAAGGCCCCGGTTGAAACATGTCAGACATGAGCAACGAGACATCCCTTGGAAACTTTTTTTTGGTAAATTGGAACCATGCCATTATAATTTTGCAAAGTTTGAGATATGCCATCGGCATCTCAATGACATGTAGGACCCACATGAGTCAATGACATGTGGGTCAGGATGGCATATCTCAAATTTTGCAAAATTATAATGGCATGGTTCCAATTTTCCTTTTTTTTTTTTTTACATCCTACAACTATCATCATGATATTGTTGATATGCAGATGTTTATGCTGAGAAATAAGTATTTTTTCCCCTAACTCAAAAGCGTATAGCTGACAGGCCAAGTGATTCTAATGCATGTAAACCACCAATGCTGTCAGGGATGATCCCACTTAGAAGAATTGTATGACAGGTTCAAGCTTACAAATCTCTGCAGGAACTTGCCCTGTTAAACTGTTTCATGACAGATGAAAATTTACCATGTAGATGATTCCTGTCTAATATCCAAACTGCTGCCCTTTTGTAATAACTGGCAAGGTGTTATTGTGTTAGGGAAAACGCCCAAATCAACTTCATCAATCCCCTCAGAATTACTATAACTACAATATGAAAGATTGAAAGTGAGTCATTGTCTGCAGGACTGAGAGTCACCCCTCAACTTCTTAAATGATTCTGGAATGGTGTCTGACATGTTAGACGGAGGGAGTAGGTAATTGGCAATCTGTCTAGCAGAATGTGGCCAGAAAAAAAAAATGAGCGCAGGCTTAGTAATGCCAATAATATGTTTAGAAAGCACATACTGAGATATGTAGTGCTTGTAAAGTACATATACATGTCAAAGTTTACAGTGAAAACTTGTACTGTATTTCTCACAAAAACAAAAGGTGCAGAACAAAGATCAAATCATACCATGATACAGTTTAAGTACATGAACGGTACAGGTATTATTAAAGAGCTTCTTGGTTACAATATCTCTCTCTTTAGAACTACTACTCTGTTAAAAAAAAATGATGCGCACATCACAAGAAAAAAAAGAAGAGTATGAAAAGATATGCAGTGGAATAAAACATCCATAGTTCTTCATAGGAATTTTCTTATCAAAACAGCCTTACTGACAGCTGCTTGCACATATATCTTGTCATATATCTGATCAAAAAACTGAAAATAAGCGATCCTCCATGATTTCTTGAACAGGATGGTGCAGAACACTATCCAGAGCCCCACCACAAACCCTGCACTTGTGCTGATGTACAAATATGTTGTATCATGTGATGCGTCATCATGTTCATTCTGGACAATTTTGTTTGTTCTGTTCGTGGAACAATTGGTGGAAAGAGGAAGTCCACAAAGTCCAGGATTGCCGATGTACATATAAAGATTATTAAGTGTTTGTAGCTGTTGTCCTGAGGGGATTCTTCCTGATAGATTGTTGTAGGACAAGTTTAAGCAGCTCAAAAAAGTAAGGTCTGATAAAATCGAGGGGATTTCACCAACTAAATCATTGTAGGATAGGTCCAGGGACTCCAATCTCCTTAAAATGCCAATATCATTTGGAATTGTTCCACTTAATTGATTGCCTGATAGATTCAAACTTTGAAGCCCCTTGAGTAGAGTTAATTCTCTTGGAATAGGTCCAGTGAAACTATTGTACGACATGTCAATCAACATAATATTATTTGTGGATTGAAAGGTATAGTTAAGCTCCTGGTCTTTTATGGACATGGATATGCTAGCACCAGTGTAGTTGTCCAACCCTGATGTGTGTGAATATTTCATGGCTGTCAAGCTTCTTATAGATGAATATATACTTCCTGATATGTTGTTATGTGCTACATCGAGAAAATGAAGTTGATCAAGCTTGTTTAATTGGTTAGAAAGGTTACCACAAAACATGTTCGATCTTAGAATCAAAACTTCCAGGTAAGGCATTCTCTGTGCAATCCATGTTGGGACATTTCCAGACAACTTGTTATATGAAAGGTCAAGAAATAATAACCAACCAGCATTTTGAAGGAAGCTAGGGAATTCACCAGATAGATTGTTATTCTTCATATCTATAACCAAGAATGAGAAACCAAATTGATCCACTGAACATTGTGGGATTTCCCCTGTTAGTTGATTGTATGACAGATTTATTACTCTCAAACTCCGCAGTTGACACAAACAAGCTGGAATAGTGCCTCCAATTTGATTGTGGTGAAGATGCAGTGTCATTAGATTGGGAACAGTGAGATTTGCTGGTAACTTCCCTGACAAATAATTATCGGAGAGATCCATTGCTTGCATTGATGGCAGTTCCAATTTCTCTGGTAAAGCTCCACCCAGTTGATTGCTTGACAGGTACAATTCATAAGCATTATATGAAACAGTCCAAAACCAGCCAGGCAAGTCATCCTTTATGCTTGTATTTGAAATATCAAGGACAACTATATCAGTTTGCCATCTTAGCCATGAAGGGAACTGAGGGCCCAAGTCACATGACTCAAAATATCCCTTCTTTAATTTAAAGGGAGGAATCCAAGCTTCATGTAAATCTAATTTCAGCGAGTTGCTTGAAAGGTCCAAAAATTCCAGTCTTTCTAGAGTTGCAAAATGGTATTCTGCGAGCACACCACTGAAGCTATTTTGGCCAAGGTTCAAGCTAGTCAAGTTGCCAAATGCCCCAATCCCAACAGGTATATGGCCAACCAGTGAGTTCTGAGAGAGGTCAAGATAGTTGAGATTTGTCAGATTTCCCGTTCCATCAGGTACAGAGCCAACAATCATGTTCTCAGAAAGATCAAGATAACTGAGACTTGCTAGATGTCCTATCCAAGTTGGTAGTTCCCCTGTCAAATTTGCACAATGCAGGTCCATCTTACGCAACTTATTCCATGAACACTTCGGCAATCTCTCCATCAGTTCTGATATGGAACTGTTAATATTAATGTCGTATAAATCCAGCTCTTGTAAATTACACAGATTTTTCATTGTTGTTGGTATGTTACCCGATAAATCGGTGCCATGCAGAACTATGGACTCAAGGGCAATGCATCAGGAATTGGCCCGGACCAGGCACAATCATATAGAAAGAGCTTTTTAAGTGTAGTGAGATCCCAAAACCAGTTGTGTGCGAGAGGAGAGCTAAACAGATTAATGTTAAATCTAGGACTTCAAGATGTGTGAGATTGGAATGAGATAGAGTAGAGACGGTATTGTTAAGCCCACAGCTAGATAAGACAAGGACTTGAAGAGAAGGAAGCTTGTTCACCGCATGGACCCAATTCCTTTCGGAACTGAGGTCCACCGTGGATAAATCAAGATAGCTTAAAAAAGGGAGACCCATTAACCATGAAAGATCTGAAACACTCAGACTATGGGAATTGCCAAGATCAAGGTATTGCAGATTCGAGAGGTTACCAAGCTGAGAAGGCAGAGTTCCCCAAAAATTTGCAGCGGAGAGGTTGAGATACCTCAAGTTGCTGAGTGAACCCAGAAAATCAGGTATGCTTGTAAAATTGAAGTGATTGTAGCTTAGATCAAGATACCTCAAGTGATGCAAATCAACAATAGAAGGGCTCATCTCACTGGTTGACAAGATCAGCCCATTGCTCCAATCGTCTTCGTCTGTGTTGCGGAGGTCGAGCCTGACGACATGCCCAGTTGTGTTGTCGCATCGGACTCCCTTCCACCGGCAGCAGTCTTCGCCCCGCCATGAATAAAGGCGGCCAGCACGATCCCAAAAGCTATCCTTGAAGGTCAGGAGCGCCTTCCGCTCACTCGGAATGCAACTCCCGCTGACGGCGGGCCGTGTCACTGTCGTCGTGCTTGCAGGATGGAAAGAAGAGGCGGATTGTGCTACGGAGACAAAAAGGAACACGAGTATTGCACTCGCAGTGGCTCTTTGCGTAAGGAGCGTGGGAGCAATCATTTTTTGGTAGGCTTTTCTGCTGTCAGGAAACTGCTAGAGAAGCGGCATTACAGTAGCTTCATGCCTTCATCACTAGTACTAGATTTTTTGTTTTGAACGAAAGCTAAGATGCTAATTATATAGTCGAATGAACTGTTCCCGCGTGCATGCACAGCACCTAGGATCAGGTCTTCATAGTTCACAAGTCCAGGTCGTCTCCTTTTCTTCTTTCACTTTTTTTTTCTATAAAAAAAAAAATCCAAAGTCACGCTTTTGAATGTCAGGATTTTACACTGTGATCATTTCACTTATGCTTATTATAAGCCGCAACCACTTATCAGAAAAAAAAATATAAATAAAACAGTATACATGTGTTTTTAACAATTTAAAAATAAATGCTGAAAAACAAATTACGATGAAAAGGCCCAAAACATAAATTTAAAATTATGTTTTGAAATTTAAATTTTAGCTGGGGCTTATAAACTGAAGGGTAAACGATTGAATTTCTATTATTGATGATCTTACAGTCGTAGGTAGGAAGCCTGATCATTTATTCCAGTTCTATTCGTGTACACTTGAATGAACTGAACGGGATGCATTGGGATTTATCGTTTTGATTTGGAACTCCTGCAGATCACCGCTTCTCTGTCTTTCTTTTTGTTTTATCCAAATATGAAGCCCAGGTCTTCCCTACCGGTCAGGTCCTCTGTTTGTTATAGTTGAGATTCATCGTGCATCCAACAGACAAAAGATTGATTGCAACAGTCAAGCCCGTAGCACACGGTAAGTCGGTAAGATAGCAATAATAGTTGGGGTGGATAATAACAAGTTTCCACACGGGATTCATTGGGCCTGTTTAAGCAGAGGCACTGCAATTTCACTTTGATTAGGACAAGCACTTTTTTTTTTTGCCGGAATAACCGAAGGAGGTCATTCAATGTAATCAAGATAGGAAGAAAAGGTTACAAGAAAAGTTTTACATCCACAGTTGGCTGTCGAGGAAGGATGTGCACCAGAGCACACACCCCGAACCATGTGCCAACCGCCCAAACACACGCTACAGAAAGGGAAGTCAAGCATCGAACCGGCCATCGCTATGCGAGACCGTTCGCCACCAGACCAACAACACCACTACGACACGAAGACTCTAAAACGACGCCCTCACGAGGGTTGCGACGCCAAAAGACGCCGTTGTCATCCGTCGAAAGCTAGACAAGGTTTTCACCCAGAGTTCTTTGCCGAGGGAGGAGGGATACCTCAACAATGCCCTCAGGAGGGTTACCACGCCCGAAGGCGTAATCAGTTTTGGCCCAAAGAAATTGGGCTAAGCTTTTGCTCGAAACCCCTTACCGCCGTGGTCCGTCGCCCAATCCGAAACCACCATCTAAACATCGGCGGCACATGGATTCCGCCATACCCGACCGACGCCCCTCCGCCGGTCAGCTTCCAGTCCTGCCAACGACAAGACTGCCACCACACTGCACCGACGCCCCACCGCCAGCTGACTTCATCGAACCACCATCCCTGAGAGTTGGCCTAGGACCCCTCCATTCCACCACCCGCCGGCCTCCTCGCCAGATCTGGCCGAAGAAGAACCCGGGACTAGGCGGCATTGCTTCGGCATCCTGACCTTCCCCCGCTGACAACCTGCCGCCTCAATCCAATCTAGAAACTCCCCGCAAAGAAGGGATGGAGCTCCAAGAAGGGCGAGGGTGCCGACCGGCAACGAGGAAGGCGACCCACCACCGCCAGCTCCCTTTGCACTACCATCTGGGCCTGCGCGGACGCTGGAAACGCTGCCGTTCCGGCTCCAGCGCCCCCCACGGTCCAGCCTCCACGCTGGCCTCTGCGCCTCTGCTGCTCCGGCCTCCGCGTAGCCAGCCGCCTTTGCACCGCCATCCCGAGGAGCGCGGGCTTCTGCGTCTCTGGCCGCGCGTCCATGCCGGCCCCTCTTGCGCCGACCTCAGGCCGCCGGCCGCGCCCCCCTCCTCGCCAGACCCGGCTGCTCGAGCTCGCCGGCCTCCTCCTTCCCCGCCTCTGCCTCCTCCTGAGCTCGCCGGCCTCCTCGTTCCCTGCCTCCACCTCCTCCTGAGCGCAGGCTTCGACGTCGGTGTTGCTCCGGCCGGCCTCCACCGTGGGTGCCTGCGCTTGCTCTGGTGGTGGTCGTCGCCGCGAGCCCCGCCACCGCTGTCCTCGCGAGCCTCCGGCTTTGCCAGCCACTCGCTCAGGCAGCGGCGAGGCGGGGGTGAGAGGTGGGGTGGGGCGGCGGCGGCGGCTAGGGTTCCGCCGCCCGTGTCGCCCACGCAGGAGGCGACGCGGGGGCCAACCCGTGAGCAGTTGTTTAGATTGTGGCGTTCCTTTGGAAAGGTCCATTAGGACAAGCACTTGCAGAAGTGTGCTGAACAATCAACTGGTGGAAAGAAGAACAATCAACTGGTGGAAAGAAATTTCAAGAGAATTCCACCACGCCTCCACTTGTGTGTGACAGTACAGATCCAAACCCTGACTCCACCATGTTCCTCTTTTTTGGAGTCTAGGAATTGACATAATTTGGACTTTGAGAACCAAGTGTGCGTGGCATTCATAACACAGCATAGGGTTCACTGAAAATCATTGCATTGGATATCCTAAATACAAGCATATCATGATAGAGGTGTTTAAGTACATAACTGGCCCAGGGATTATTAAAGGACTTGCTTGTTTACAAGGCTTCTCTTTAGCTTACTGTAATTAGGCTACTACAAAGCAGCCTACCGTGAAGCATGGGAAATCATGATACAATTGATGGTCAAAAGAAGAATACTTTGAGATGGCAACTAATCGATTGTGTACTGTCCAATTAGATGTCATTCAAGGATGTAGCCTCCTCCAGAATCTGATGCCAACTGATAAAATACCCTCCTGTAGTTACAGCTCTAGAATCTAAGGTATCTAGAGAGAGGAAGGGGTGGGGGGAACAAGAAAAGGGTCATATTCTGCCAGCTAACCTGATTTTATTTGTTTTAAATGTATATAACAAGCAGCAGCAGCAGCAGTAACAAAATATATGCCTTTGAACTATCAGAACAAACATTGGTTACGACTCGCAAGTCAGATCAGCCAAACATACATGCAACAAATTTCTCTAGCACTAACAAAGGCATACTACCATTTATTAACGGAAATATGCCATAAGAAGTGAATTGTGAGGGGGAAAACCGCAAGTATGTTTCATGGAAGATCTTTTCTTCTTTTCCTTACTTTGTATACATAATTTTCACCTCCTATAGTGCATACCCAAAAAAAATGTTCCCTCTCTGAAGAGATCACTTAAGAAGCACTATAAAGCAGCAAGAAAGCAATGTAGCACCACCAAAGAATCTTGAGGAGCCAAGCAACATAGTGCTGTAGGGCCATGCGAGTGCCAAATAACATGACTCGATATCAGCCCAGCCCTGAGGGGGGCAAGAGGGGGACCCACTCTGGCCCCCCAGAAATCAGGGGGGCCACCTAGTACTAGCGCAGGTCGTCAGGTCAACAAGTTTAGGGCCTTAGGTCTCTCACAGTGCGGTGAGTTGGACCGGTGCTACACGGTGCCAGCTCGGATTGAAGCATACGTGGCAGAAGGAATCGCACCCTAGCAGAGCTCCTCGCCCCCAAGTAGAGCCGCGCGAAACCTCACCAAAACGAGGGCGCGAGAAGGAGAGGAAGACATGAGGCGCGCGCGCTGTGGGGTGCGGTTCTTGGCCGCGCCGTGCCCTCGCGCCGCATCGAGTGGAGAAAACCCCGATTTGCCCACGATTCTTCCCGTCAACGAAACATCCCAAGCAAGAACGCAGAAAAAAGAACTCGATCCGTCCCAAGAACACAAGAGGAATCACCAAGAAGCAAAAGAAACAAAGAAATCTCAATCCGTCCCAAGAACACAAGAGAAATCTATGGCCCCAGATCTCATATTAACCAATGAACAACACATCTCACATGCACAAAAACAACAATCAATAATCCCCTAAGTTGTACAGTAGTTGGAGCCAATCCATCATCAGATCATCCGCGAGGAGGCAACTCGCCGCCGCGCGCCTGCTTCCTCCACGCCGCGGCTTCCCATTGGCATCGCGCCGTCCGCTCCCGGCGCCGCCTCCGCCGCCACGACCACCAAATCTAGCCGCGAATCCGGGGCCCCACGCCGACGACCACCACCACAATTCGGATCCAAACCCGGGCTGCATCGGCGCGTCGTCTTTGGTCAAAGCCGCAGCCGAGCCAAGAACCGGCGTCCCCGCGCCGCCAAGAACCGGCGGCCGCCCGTGCACTAGCGAGCCGCCGCCAAGATCGAGGGAGAGGAGGCGAGGAGGCATGGGAGACGAGGAGGCGCGGCGGCGTGGGAGGCGAGGAGGCGCGGCGGTGTGGGAGAGGAGGAGGCACGGCGGCGGAGGCGGAGTGGGAGGAAGCAACGGCGAAGACGATGGAGGAGGAGAAAGAGAGGAGAAGACGGGGGTAGGTGAGGAAATTAATTTCCTTCGGTCCCCTCACTACCCTCCACCAAGTCACGAGCGCTGTGGGCGCCGGTTTCCTTGTACAGTGCCCAAATCCAACTAGGTCACGCAAAATAGGATCCTTGCACTGTAGGGAGCGGTGTCTTTAGACCAATTTTTGAGCTAAGACCCTACCACCGGTGTTTACACTGTGAATGGCCTTATCGTCTTGCAGCGTGTAGTAGGTTTTTGCGCCTTCGGTGCTGCACGCATCGTTCCCAATTCCTCCGCGCGCCGCATGACCGCATAGGCCATCACAACTCTGTGCCACCCTGCCGGTTGATTCACCGCGATCGTGCTCCTCGTCCCCCTGTGGAATACCTGGGATTAAGTGATCAAGCCCTGCCCGGCTGCCACGTCCAAGGCTCCAAACAACAATCTTGCGTCTTCATTTTGTCCACATGTAGTGATCAGTGTTTTAATCTTGCAGAGTGAGTCGGATTTCAATTCCATTTCATTAATTACTTCATGTTGGGGATTGCTAATCATATATGTGATAATCAGGGTGAGGGGATTAGGAACCACCAAAAGGGTCAGTGCCGTCTAGTGAGAGTTCCAAACTAAGGGATGATCAATCTGTTTTTCACATAATTAATTACAATAAGCCATCAAGGGATGAATTGATTAATCAAGCATACAATCATACATGCTACAGTGAGTGATCGATTTGCTAGTTCAACATAATGATTGGTAAGATTGTTTTAATTAATATGATATATTTTTTATCATTTTGTATTTTTGAGTTAGTGTCTGACCGCTAATATGTATTTTTTTCTATTATTAGCCTGTACTTGGTATCATGTCATGTCCACCGAGCAACAATTTTTTTATCCTACACTAAGGGCTGCAATTT